TTCGTAGTAGTTATCCTCAAGTGATAATCGCTTCATCCCGAAGTAATACCTTTACTTTAAAGGCGCTAGGATATCTCGCTTAATTAGGTCGTTAATCCAGGGGCGCACTTTCTCGGCCTAGAACTTATACATCGATTAGTTAGCACTCTTATCCGTAAGGATTTCCGGAAAGTTAGAAACTAATACGTAAATGCCGCCCCGTTCCTATAGGGTTTCCTAAAGAGATTCACGTTCCTTTAGTAATATATCCTAAAAGCTATATTAAGCTAGGTCGTAGGGAAAGCTAGATTTAGTTCTTTTAGCGCGATTATATAACGAGCTATAGGAGTAACGATCTCAGTCCTATTTATCTTTACTTATTTGTCTTTGATTCATTAGCAGGCTAATATAGGGTATTCTAATATAGGTATGCACTTCGTAGTTTTTCTATACTAGAGCCTAGATAATCTATACTCTAGTTATGCCGGACCTAATATAAGCGATCTTCTTACCCGTCACGTCAAGATGGTCCGGGCATCTTACGGAGTGAAAGAGCACTCCTTAGTACCTTACTATATTCTTAAAGTATAGTATATGCATTTTATAAGTGGATCTAACTACTATAATAAGGTACTTATATTTAGCCTCTACACCGGTGTCAGTCTGTACTGACTATGTTACATAAACTAGGTTAAACTCTACTCCCGTCATCACCGTGTTAAAATATGCATCTTTAGCGAGGTTAAGGGTCTTATCGATATAGATAAAGTACCCCTTTAGCTCTACGTAGCCGGGAAAGCGTTCTGTATAGGACTAGGTCCAGTAGACTTCGGGAATTAATAGCCTATAGTATAGTGTCTTAGAGTCGATACGGGCACCTGAATACTTATTCTAGTACTATACTCCCCTAAAGTAAGAGCCCGCCTTAAAGAGCTTAATACTTAAATAGAGTTTTCTAAACTTCCACATCGAGTATATGCTACTTATGCTGCCGCCGACGATTAGGACGTTGACTTCAAGAGTGTGCTTATATTAGATACGTTCTCTTAGGGCTAGCTGAGAGGCATCGTTCGTATAGTCTACCATTGTCAGTTCGTGTAGGCTTTAGTGTTAGATAGGCTGAGAGTGATAGGGATAACTAAGTCCGCTTTATCATTATTATAAGTGAGCCTCTATAAGGTTCTAGTTTATGATTATGATATTAGGCTTTTATAGTTCTTCTTATTATTTGATTAGTGCTATATAGGATGTTATTTTTTATAGACTAAGTTCGTTACTATATTAGAATGAAATAGATACTATATATGTCCTTCTTATAGAATATAATGATTATAGTCTGATTAGTAGGGTACTAATGACTCTATTAGTCCTTATAGTTAGACTAGGAAAATTATCCGCTTTTACTTTCACTCGGGGGATCGATTAATATAATCATATATATAGTACGTTATCCAGAAGAGAATAGCGGGCCGTAGAATTTACTTCACCCGCTCCTCCGGTAGTAAGAGAACTAATTCCTAATCTACCTACTCCTTAACTAGAATATAAGTCTCAAAAAGATCTAAAGCCTAAACGTATAAAAGGGTAGGCTAGTTATCTAATCTAACTCTTATGACGGGATATATATCTATAACGGCGAGATAGTCTATCCCTTTTCGCATTATCTACTCAACCTCTTCCTATCCTTCGTTAGACTTAGCCTTTCGAGACTATAGGAGATTGTCAGAACTCCACTAACTTAGTTATTAAATCCCCTAAATAATGATAGAATCGGCTATTCTAGACTACCTAACTACCACCTAGGAGTTCCCTACTACGCTAAAGGTAGAGTATAAGCTACCGTATCCTACTTACACCTCCCGATTTCCACTAGACTAATAAGAAATCGTTATAGTCATTCTAGGTTCGTAATATAAGGACTTATGCGAGACTACGTCTATTCAGACAAATGGTATGACAAGTCCTACGGCTTAGTTAGCCCTCTAACGAATAATTAGCTTTATTACCTAGGCTATAGAAGTATTAAAGCCGAAGTTTTATTAGTTAGCCTATCAGTATGAGGCTATCTAAGGGTATAAGTAGTATATTATCGCGTATTAGGATAAGGAAGCCACGTACATTAAGTGGAAGATTGCCAGTGGATTCGAGAAATGGTGGAATAGTCTCGACCCTACCTTCGAAAGCTATAGGTAGTTTCTGGAAGTGTTTATGCCCATAGTGAAGAGGTTTGAAAACGCTTTTATAAGTCGCATAGTACTAGAAGGAGCCGCCCATCTATAGAGAGCTATAAGTGGTGCCATCTAAGAGCATAGTTATTAGGGGAGTATGTGGGACTATCTACCCGTTTTAGTAATAGATCTATTATATAGCGAAAAAGTCACCTCTAATATTAGGACTATAGCCAACTCTAGGAGGCGTTATATCTAAGTCTAGGGTAGAAATAACCTTACGGTTATTCGTTCAGGCTAAGATTAGTCCTCTACCTCTAGTTACGAGCGAAAGCTCTACCTTAACAAGCTATATCTAGCGCTAGTAGCGGGTATACAATTCCTCCATAACGATAAAGGGATGGAAGAGGGCTATATAAGCCTACGTTTTATGTACGAGTTAGATAGAGAGACTTTAAAACCGGTCAAAGAAAAAACGTTTAGTCTAGCCTTTTTCGACAAGCTTAGCTCACTAGAAAGATAGAGTAAGAGTTACGAAATCTATAAGCGTATCTACGGTGAATTCTCCTACTACGCGAGAGAACTATAGGATACCTCCTTACGATTTTTCCACGAAGTGTTTATTCTCGAAGACTAGTTCTCCAAATATATTAGTTACCATTCTAAGACCAGAATACTTACTTCGCTATGATTAAAGAATTATATAAACTAGGAGAATAATCTACGTAAAAGTACAATTACTATACTTCTTATCTAGTCTATTTATACGCTAAGCTTAGGCTAAAGTTTTATAGTCTTAGATCGGAGTAAAATGGAATACTAATAAAGATTTTGTAAGTTTAGTACGAATCTCAGACTTTATAGTATCACTATCGCGCCTCTTTCGGATGCGGCTAGCAGTCGTGACTCCCCCATATCCCTCTCCTCTGTGATCAATAGTTATCTCATCGTCTATAACCTGTCACTTCCCTCCGCTCCGGCTTGGAGCCGTACGCTAATTACGACGCTATCCGCGCGGATATTGGTCGAGCTCAAGCGTACCTCCGACCCTATTATTGAGGTCGCGGACCACATCTATCTACTGCCGTAGGGTAGAAATTTTGCCTTAGTCATCTGGAATAGTGTAAGCTTTTGGGGAGGGCGTAGCCTAGGCTTATAGATACGGCCTAGAGAGGAGAATTCGTAACGACCTCTACCAAAACCCTTGAGCGCTAGCGATACGCTATAGGGATATGGGGCCTTATTGTCTTCTATCTGTCAAGTACGGAAAGGGGAAGCTAGGCGTCTAGCTTCCCGCCTCTTCTCACCCACCACTAACTCCTTCTTTCCCTTCTTTACTTTCTAGGTAGAATCTACTTCTGTAGTGATAGCTAGTACGGTGGCCATCTCAGTAAGGCCGTCGTTCCTACGATGTAGTTCGACGCGCTCCAGCCTACGGTGCCCGGCGGAACCGTACTATAACGGGGTCAAGCCGTACGTACCCTTCCCCCTTCCTCCTCCCTTTCCTCTCTCTACCTATTGTAGAGTAACTATAGGGCGGCCATATAAAGCTACCTTATTCGCCCGCTTCTTTAATTCGCACGATACTAGCTCGTCTAGCTTTTGTCGTCTAATAGTGAAAACGACTAAACTTATGCACCTCCCCCCATACTAAGGAATAAGATACGTATAAAGCTAATGGCTAATGTAACTCTTTTCTCTAACCCTCTATTTAAGCTATCAGCACCTATCGATGCCTATCCCTATCACTTAATCTCTTTTCTCCCGTAAGGCGGTCTCCGGTGGTAGGTGGATCCTAGTCCAGTTCTAGGCTACCGTTATCAAGGTCACTTACGGTACGGTACGTATAGTCTAGTACGAGATCCCAAGACCCCTCGGAGTAAGGTGAGGAAGCTAGCCCTCGCTAGATATCCTCAAGGGATCCACTATAGAGTGCTTCATTCCCTAGTTCACCCAAGTCTACCTTATGTAAGTAGGATACACGGGCTCGAGTCAGATAGAGAGGGTTTCCACTGGAGCTGCGTCGAGGCGGACAGGGTCACAGCGAGTGAGCCTTGAATTCTACGCCATCCCTCTCTCGCGCAGCCTATTAGCTCAGACGAATCGCACTCTTTATTGAGGATACCTATACACTTAACGATACGGGAATTAGGAGACTAGCGTCCCTTTGATACTACGGGATTTTGAGAGAAAACGGCTACTGTACCGATTCGTAATGCTATAGGAGACTTATACTAATCTACCCCCCCTATAGAGATGGCATCCCGTAGCGTCCGAGCTCTTAAGCTAGCCCCCAACTTCTGAATCCCGCCGTCCGTGGAAGAAGAGACCTTCGCCGTTACACTATGGCGCTGTGCGGAACGGAAAATTAGCCAGGCGTAAGGCTTTTATCTACGGAGGGTTAACGTTCCGCCAGAATTAGACTAAGTAGGGCGATATATATATGCCGTTAAGCTTATCCACGAGGAGGAGGCACCATATCGTTCGCTCGTCTCGGTGGGGAAACAGCTGATAATCCCGGACCTCAGAGTTAGAGCCATACTCTACTAACTAGCTCCTGAGATAGAGATCCTTAGGTAAGCGTTTGAAGTACGAAGACACTAATCTCACTATATCCTCGTCACGTAATTGACTCACGAACCTAGTAAGGTTATTCCACCGCACCCACTAAAACAAAGAATCACGCGGGGATCTGACCATAGCGGATAACGTAACCAGAATATATAGTAACTCTTCATTATAAGGGCCCATCTCTAAGGCTATAGATAGCGCCTGGGCCCAGAGGTGACAGCCCTTGACCCGCTCTTAGATTCTCCTAGGCGTACTACAAATGGCGGTGAGGATCACCGCGACCTAGCTGCCTTCGCCTCTTTGGAGGGACTGAGGGAGGCTTTCGAGAAAGCCGTCGACGAGCTGTCGGACGTTCGGCACTAATTCGTGCCAAAAGGCTTCCACTACTTTACCGAGAGCCGGGTAGACGGCCAGGGCTTTGATCTTCAAGAGATAGCGGTAGATGTACTATCGGACATCGGAACTAGGAGGTCAACAGAGGGCTACATCGTATATAAGGGCAAATTTTGAGATCGGTATGCTAGCGGCGAGGCTCGCGAGTTCTACGAACAATACACTTCTTCTTAGGCTCATTTTGAGCGCCGTGATTGCCAACTGTCGAGATATTTCGAGCCACTCTCCAGTTTCCAGTGGATGCTTACATTCTGCGATCAGAGTAGCCAGTCTACAGAGGCATCCAAGGCGTACCGCGGCTACTGAGCCCTCCTCGTTAAAATAGATAAGTCTAGGGTAGAGACGGCACTCTACCTAGGCTAGAGCGGCTCTTGTTGAGTGATATATATTAAGCAGTAGGGACGTAATTCTGTCCATGTCTCCTTCCCGAGGAACGTCAATCTCTGACTCGCACAGGCAGACCTCGCGTGAACTGCTTCTGCGGTTAAAGTGTCTCAGGAGAGCCTTGCGCGCATCATCGTCGTCGTCGTCGTCGTCGTCGTCGTCGTCATCGTAATCGCCGTCACCACGGTGATCATCGTCAGAGGGACTAGGTGACGGATCTGGCAAGATCTCGAGCGGTATGGAGGCTGGTGGAGCTAAATTAGCTGGTCCCGAGCTCATTATAGGTAGGTGATGGTGGTGTCGAGGGAGGCTTCTAAGGAGAGGAGAAAGTAGGGAGCGATCTCCCGCGATAAAAGGCGGGCCAAACGCGCATTTTACTCTTAGGTAGTAATAGACTGAATATATAGTAGTAAGCGGTTAACCCGCGAAGAGAGGCCTCCAAGGCTCCAGCTTTGATAAGCGGGATACCTACTTACCGCGTAGAATAAGTTATCTTACCTTTAAGTCGGAGTAAATAGGAGTTAAACGCGAGGATACTAGGCTAGTCCTCTCTAGTCTATAAGTCCTTAACGCCTAACGATAATAGGGGTTTTTTAGGGCTAGCCGGAAGAGGGCGAGCTATAGTAATACCCTCTGCCTATTCCCTATTAGTAATACCTAGTTCGCCAAAGCTACGGTATAGGGAATAGCTTAGATAGGGTATAAGATAAGGCGGCTAGAGGAAAGGGCTAGGGGAGGGCGGTAGTAATGTCATAGTCTATTAGCTCTCTATAGTCTGGGAATACGGATCGAGGTGTGATAGCCGTACCTACCTCTTAGTGCGGATCTTATTGATTATTTATGCCTATCTCCTACGCTTTAGGATTCTTCTTTCTCCTAGGGATGGGGACAGAATATAATGCGAATGGAAACGTTATAAGAAAGTAGTGAGTAGCGGACCGATCTAACCTACGTAACGGATAGTAGAACTAGACGAATACGAAGGAGGCCGTACTAATATACACTATAGGTAAGAGCACTATAAAAACACAAAATCGAGTAATAGAAATAGCGGGGAGGGCGCCGCTGACGCTATACTATTATAACCACGTCTAAATTCCCTTTTCGTAGTCGCCATAAAAAAGCCGCTATCCTACGTCCTCTAAAGGACTTGAATAGGCTTGAGAAGAAAATCGGGCTTAGTGGCGATATATACGAGAACTGTGTGCGGTTACACTATGAGTAGCTACGTCTTAGGCTCAAGACGCTGCCTAAATCTCCTCTAGACCTCGGTCCCGCTTTATCCTAGCCGTAGTTCTACGGCCTTCTATAGAGGCGGTAGTAGACGACTATACACTTAAACCTCGCTACTTCTTTAATAACTAGACGTCGTCCTTTCAAGGAGGTTTCCGAGGACGAGGTGATTAGAAAGACCCTCAATGAGCTAATCCTTAAGTCCAGAGCCGGCGTACTTATAAAGGGAGAGAGGGGGGGAAACGGCGTACCTTATATGTCCATATACTAGAAATCTGGATGATGGCAGTGGCACCCCTCCCTACGGTCGCCCCAGTCTCACCTGAAGCGGTAGCGGTCTCTAAAATGGGGTGAGGGCGAAGTCAATACTATAGCGATAGCCATATCATATAAGGTAGCCTACTACGTCCTTCAGGTCCTCATATGTAGTCAATGCCTTTACGGTCGAGTAAGGTGAAGGAGTTGTTGACGCTAAGTCAGCATTTAATAGCGATGATTGGACAACCGCTGAGGACTCGAGATCCCTTTGTTCTACTTATATAGAACGTGGATAAATAACTAGGATAGACTGACAGAAAGACCTAGCGAATATTGACTTCGCATAATACTCCACTCCTTAGAGGAATGCGGAAGTTAGCCGTAGGTACGATTAGTGCCTCTTTATTATGTTCAGGCGGAGACCCGGTTTAGTCATAGTATCCTCTACGTAGTTAAGAATACTAAGTATTATCTTAGTATCATAACTTTAACTAATTAGGAGAAGGTATTCAAAGAGCTAACTAATTAGGGAATTCTAAGAGACCTTCTACTGCGTCTTCTTTATCACTACTTTTCAGTATTATCTCTCCCTCTAATACCCTATAACTTCGCTATAGTATAGCCTAGACCCTAAATAATATATATATTAACTTAAATTATCTTTAAGGGCTGAACTATAGGTAAAAAAAGGGGGTTAAGACTTTACTTAGCATTCTTAACTACGTAGGGGATAGTATATATAAGGAATATATAGTATGAGGGGATCAAAAAAACACACACTGAAACGGGGGGATATAAATACTAGTAGACGGTACCCACCCGGCCTCATCTGGAAAGAGTAGGCGATCGCCCCTATGAGAGCCCTAGGCAAAAGGATAAACGAGATGACTCCTACTCTCCAAAGCCTTCCCACCCTTCCCACTCTACTAGATTTGGTCTCTAGACCTTACTCAGCCTACGCCCACGCCGGTAAGTACGACTGCGATGACGCCCTCTTATAGATTACTTAGCCCGTACCTTGATAGCCCCACTGTTTAACACATACTAACGTGACGAGACGGCACTAGAGGTCCAGGCGGGGAACCGTTAGTAAATCCACTACTACGGTCGATTATCCGCCTTCCACCGCTTCAGATCAGCGTCCTCTCTAGCCGTCTAGTTCCCGCGGATACCTTCACGCGGTCTTCCCTCCGGGGCTTCGCCTTCGGTCGGACAGTAGGGACCGTCCCCGTCGTCCATGTCATTGGTCCTGGGGAGGCTGCCGCCGTGACTAGGGGGACACACGGCGTATTAGGTGCTGGGTTTAGTAGGACTAGGATAATCAGTAGGCTAACGTACCGTGGCTATGACTATCCAACAGTGGGCCGCGGGTATCTACTCCACCTTAACATTAGTTAACTGGGGGTCGTGAGAAGGTTAGTAGCTTAGACCCTATGCGGCTGGGTTTACCACGAGGCTCGATACCTCGTGCTAGTCTTGGGTGACTGCCATGAGGACGGCGGTGTCCGCGGCTATGACTGGCTATACAGTTAGGCTAGCCGCCCTCCTCAAATGGCCAAATGCCGCGTCTTCCTTATCGTAAGGTATTCTCTCCATAAAGGGGGGGGAATCGCGGCTCGAGGTAGCTAAAGGTCTTTCGCCTTCCAGACTAAAGCCGCCACCACCCTCGGCCCCCGTACGTTTTCATGTTGATCTCGTGGCACAGGAAGCGCTCGGCCGGTCTACTGCGCTAGGCGACCGTAGCTGGCAAACGGGACGACCGCTTGCCGCGGGGGACACCTGGCGTCGGGGCACCATAACTTCCACTTAGCTTTCACGAGACTTCCGTTGTCGAGAAGGTGGGCTATAAGCACTAGAGCGGTCTGTTACACTGATGTAGCGTCGTGGCGACGGGATGGGGGAGGTGCCAGCCGCGCCGGGTTGAGCACTTTGCTGATCGCCGGTACTGGGACTACGAGCCGCGGGTCGCTACACGCTATGGGACTTACCATATAGATCTCGACTTTCGTACATACGTTCCTCTACGGCGCGCACTACCTAGATACCCTCCTCTTAGCCCAGTCCTTCGGCCGCCCAGTACGTTAATTCCTAGTCATTAAACCTAGGCTGTTGAAGGTTAACCGTGAGACCTAGGACTCTATTAGCCCGAGTGCCGGACACGCGCTAGGTGAGTTAGGGTTTATGGGGTTTATTAGCGAGCGGGGATTCTGTAGGGTCGCCTATCCATCCTCACCTTGACCGTAATCTAGTAGTGCTATCTAAGTAGACTGGCTAAGCTAATGGGTACCGTAGCTTACCCGGCCATCGCTCCCGTCTAAGGGGAGAGCTGACGTTGTCAGTAGGGGAGAGCTAAAGAGGCTGTCTACATCGCCAGCACACCCGCCTAGACTAGGTTAGTCGTATTCCTATGGTAGGACCAAGAGGTTGAATAGGAGGGCTACATCGCCTAGAGCCGCCACCAGCCCGTGGGCAGGCTACTCACTCTGGGGAAGCGCCCTCACTGAGCTGGGACAGTCAACGGGTGGAAGGTTTGCCAGGTTCGACCTAGTCCCGCCCCGTACGTGGCCCTTATCTCGAGGGCGCGAAGGGTCTTTAAAAACGATGCTATCCATATCGACGGCGCCGCCTGGAGGGAAGCGCATTTTGGGGCGGCTGGAAGGACCTAAACGTAGAGGTAGAATCGAGGGCGAGAGAGGGGAGGAAGGGGAGGCGAGGACTGAGGTGAGCGGGCGAGACCGAGAGGCGGGCCTCGGACGTAATATAGTATAGACACTCGACTCGGTCCCTATAGGAGGGGGTGGAGGAGGGACACTACCTTCTTATGTAGTAGGTAGTAGTCGAGTAGTAGTAGTGATAGTTGATCCAGACTGATTTAGAGGCGACTACCCTATTATTATCCCCTTCTCCCTTACGGTCCCCTATTTCAAATAGGACGTTTAGTAAGACGGGGGAAATTGATGGATTATCCTAGGGTACCTACTATAGCTCGCTACCCCTAGGAGAATGAGGAAGAGGAGTCATACACTACGCGTATTGGTTGTCTAAGTATAGGACGTCCTTAGAGAACGTAGCCCCTTCTCCCCCTCTCCCCCTCTCCCTCCCTCTCTTTACCTTTCTTCTCTAGGAACGCGCGACTATACGCAATTTTCGCCATTAGCTAGAGGGGGCCGGAGCCGCGTAGGGGACGACGTCTATGAAGGAATATCCGCGCCCTCTTTGGAGGGAAAACGGCCCCTAAAGGCTAGGAGTCACATTTCGTCAATAAGGGCACCCTCGCTATAGACTAGCCTATCGAAAGTTGAAGGAGTCGAGTCTAGAGTAGGTAGCCCCTATGAGAACCATAAAGTATCTATCCCCGGGAGGGACTAGGTTTAGTAGGTCCTCTCCCTAAAGAGAGGTCAGTATATCCCATCAAGGCTTGAGTAAAAGGGGAAGGGGTTTCCCGCACACCGCGGCCGTAGGGTAGATATGACGGTAGGGCATATGGCGCAAGTTGATGAGTGCGATACGCTGGTCCCCACTGTTCACTCGCAGCGCTACCTACGCGCCTACTCCTGTTAAGCCATTACTTATGGGCTGCCCGACAGTAGTCGTCCCTTACCTACCCCCTATAGAGCGGTGGGGACCGCTTCTAGACCGCGCAAAAAGTCCTTCACTACTCGCCACGCCCCCGCTATATAGCATTAGAGAGAGAGGGGCTAGCGAAATCCCGTATACTACACTAACTTAAGCGTGATGGCGAGTGTAAGGCGTTTTCCCTTCCTCTCAAACTAGCTACCTCTTTCAGCCTCGCGCTAAGCCGATACGCCTTTATATAGCGCGGCCGCCGAGCCGGGGACGAGCCTATAGTATAGGTCAGCTAAGCTCTACTAAGGAGTGGCGAGGGATAATCCCTCTAACCGTACCCCGTTAGGACGGTAAGGTAGGGACACTAGCGGAGGAGTACCTAGGTAGAGAAGTCCGCCTCGGTGAGTGAGGATAGAGAGGTATAGTAGAGGCGTAGGTCTCCGGAAAACGTCCGTAACGTAAGAGGGAGAAGGGAGAAAAGGGGGGACGGAGGAGTAGGGAGCGGGAAGAGGAGGAGAAGGGAGAGAAGGGAGAAAAGGGAGGACGGGGAAGAGAGGGAAGAGGGAGCTAGGTAGGTTCACCGTCTAGGATATCCCTTCCAGTCCGACAGAAGAGACGGCGTGTTCATTATGGCGCCTTGTCTAACTAGGTAGTGAATGTGAGAGGTGTGATAAGGGGGGACGATAGGCTCCCGGCTTAGACGCTATCGCTAGGTAGCGGTCTAACCCTTCTGAGGGTGAGTGGAGGGGTAGCCTCTCTATCGTAGGGGGGCCTAGGGTGAGAAAGGTTGACGGGCTCCTCTAGATACCCGGTCGAGGAGAGGTAGGTAGGTGGAGGGGGCGCGAGAAGCGACGGGACGGAAGAGAGAGAAGGGGGGGGGGGGATGAGGGAGGGAGAGGGGGGAAAGGAGGGTGACGAGGGAAGGTTAGGGAGGAGGAGGGGAAGAGGGAAGAAGGAAGAGGCAGTAGTGAGGTGGCTCGCCAGCCAAAGGAGTCGTAAGAGGAGTTTCGCGCAATACATTAGGAGGAAAGAGTAAAACCGGTGAGGGCGGTCGTCCTTTTATAGCGAGGACGTATAAGACGGTCGGACGAAAAACTCAGCCCCTCCACCGGGGGGTTAGCGCTAGACCTCATACAGTAGGACTTTTCCCGAACCGGCCACACTTTCCCCAATAGAGGTCAAACTAGACCGCACCCAGCTCCCGTTCAAGCGGCGCTAGACCTATCTCCGCCTATGAGTGACCTTTACACCGGGACAAAGATTATTATTTAAACTTCTTTAAGGCCTTTAGAAGTCCTTAAGCTTCTCGTTTAAGGGTATTATATTCTAGTTTAGCTTTAATCTAGATACTACTCTTATACTAAGTAGCTCTCCGTTTCTACGTCGCTAGATTAATCTATATAATTATCGCGCCCTATCTATATCTACTAGCGTTAATAGCTAGGATAATAAGACTAACTTATTCTCTATAGTTAAGGCTTACTAATACTAGAGGAGAAGATAGCGTAAGTTTAAGAGCTTTTATACTCTAGTCTTAAACCTTAATCTATTTCTAAAGTACGTTTTTCCTAAGTAATATATATAGAGACTTAGTTAGTATTATAAAGTATAGAATCTAGATACGGTAATAGATATAGATTCTAAGAAACCTATAGAGTTCTAGCTAATTAGTTAGGATTAGTTAAGTTAGGATTTTATAAGTCTTTAACTCCTAAGGATATTATCTATCTCTATTATAGACGTACTTAACTACCTTTATTCTATTTATATAGAGCTATAATTTCTAATCTATAACTATAGCTCTAACTCTTTTAAGATTAAGTATTATCTTATTAAGGTTAATTAAGGACTCTAATATAAAGAGATATAATTCTAGCGTTACTTCCTATTACTAATAATCTGTCTTTAGACTCTTTACTATAATATCGTCTAGAAATAGTTAAGTACGCTTTAGGATTTATTCCTATAGAATATAGTTTATAATCCTTATAAACTATACTACTAAATCTATAGCTTCTTAAGGTAAGGTTATATATTAGACTAACCTAATTAGAGTCTAGATAGCTATAAGGTCGCGACTCTCCTTTATAAGTTCTATTTAGTCATAACTAGAGAGCTAATCTAGTAGAGAGATTATATATATTCCTAAGAACTCTTCCGTAAAGTTATCTAATAAAGAGGGTAGATTTATATCTCTTATAGTAACTTAATTAATATTTTAAGTAGCGATAATTAGTTAATACTATAATAGGAAAGGTTTGAAGAGGACCTGAGGTATAAGGTAGATGAGTAAGGTGATTAGTCAACTTTTGGCTGTACATTATATAGGTAAACGTTACTACTCTCTGATTAGTCAGTTCGAGGGTACTACTTTAGCTTAGTAGTCTTTTCTTTTATCATTTATCTAGGTGGATAGAGAGATAATAATATAATTAATCAACTACTTTATAAGATATAAATGTGTGATGGGTTGAACCCAGGAGAAGGCTCAGTTCTGGCGAACCAGCGCTAAGACTAACGCCAGGAAACCATACCTTCTGATTAGGTGTATTCACCTTTACAATGTACAGGCGAAATGCTGCCTCCTGATTAGTTAAGACGTACATAGTGTAAGGGATACAGAATCCTAATAGCTAAGACACTATACGTAAGGGAAGGTAAGGAGTTAGAATAAGTACGTAAGGGAAAGTAAGGAGCTGGAATAAATATATAAGGAAGGAGTAAGGAGATAAGGATACTAGTTACCTCCTTACGGCGCGTTAGAGGATATAAGGAGAAGAGAGGGATAGTCATTCCTTACTTCTCTCCCCTTAGATTTATCCTCCTTATTACTAGGTTAGCTAGCTAGTTATAGAACTCTTTCTAAACCCTCACACTTACGATGAAATCTATAGGCTAGCCTCAGCTAAACTACTATTAACGCGCACTATAAAATACTTAATAAGATTTCGATTAGTAAAGAACGTCTATGCGTATACGGTGTCCTAGTAGATAGGCTAGTCTTAAGATTTACGCTATTAATATTTATTATTAGCCTACTTCCGAATGTTATCGTGATTACTACAAATAACTCCGTAACCCTCTTAACGATATCGATACATAGTAATAGGGGGTTATAGGCCCTTAATAGGGTTAATTAGGCCCGTTAGCGTCGCTACCTTCTCCGGCTGAACATAATTATTACGGGCATAGGCGTAAATAATCGCCTTTCGTCGAGCGAGTGAGAAGGTATGCTTATAGAGGAGGTACTTAGCTAGATTCTATATAGTATACTAGTGAACGGTATAGATCTAAATACGATAAGTCTAGTAATATAGTATATAGTTATGTAGCTTATCGTCGGGAGTCTTAATTGGAGAATAAGAGGGACTATTAAGTAGCGTACTGGTCGGAATGACTAGCGAAGGTTAACTACGGCGGGGGAGCTTCTAATTTAAATTCGTAATTTTTAAACCCCTAAATTATTAACCCTAATAACCCTAGGGTTAGCGAACTTCCGCACTACGATGATTTTCATAAATCTGAGGTAATTTTCGGATTAATCGAGGCGAATCTTCTCAAAATCAATAAAATTGAAGACGTCTAGAGTAATTCGAAGAGCACTACGAAGTTTAGGTGTGATGGGTTGAACCCAGGAGAAGGCTCGGTTCTGGCGAACCAGCGCCAAGACCAACGCCAGGAAATACTGCCTCCTGATTAGTCAAGATTTACCTGTACAATGTACAGGCGAAATGCTGCCTCCTGATTGGTCAAGACGCACACGGTGCAAGGGATACAAAGTCCTGACAGCTGAGACACCGTACGCAAGGGAAGGTAAGGAGTTGGAATAAGTACGTAAGGGAAGGCAAGGAGCTAGAACAAGTACGCAAGGAAAGGAGTAAGGAGGTGAGGACAATAGTTACCTCCTTGCGGCGCGTTGGAGGATATAAGGAGAAAGGAAGGATAGCCATTCCTTCCTTCTCTCTCCTCAGATTTATCCTCCTTATTACTAGGTTGGCTAGCTAGTTGCAGAACTCTTTCCAAACCCTCACATTAGGTGTAGCCTTTAGGTTTAGGTGAGCTTTTTTCCTGAAACAGTAGTGCCTTAGTAAACTCTATGCTAAGACATTTCCTAACTAGGGAGGGCATGGGCTATGCCTAGGGTATCATATTGGTTAGGATAAATAATAATAACAAAGGAGAGGAAGAGGAGGAGGACGAGGAAGATAGTAATTATATAGATAATAGTATATTATAGTTATATAATAGATTACTAGAGTATATTTATTAATATTAATATCCTAATTTATCGATAATTATAACGCTCTTAGTAGACTAATCCTATTACGAACAAAAGTTATGACGCTCTTAGTATACCTCGTTAAATACCCTTTAAGGCCCTATTTTTAACATAACACTAAGAAGGTAATGTAATAGATATAGAAATGAGAGTTAGGGTATTCGTCTCGCCTTCGGAAACTCTATTAATTACACTACATTTTTGAAAACCTTTCTTAAGATCGGGTCTAACCCTAAGGGGGGAAACCGGGTATGGAAAGATAGTAATATTAGGACTCTTAAGCCTTCTCTATACGTATAAAGCTCTCTAAAACCCCTTAGAGCCTTCCCTCGGTCCTTGTCCCTGATAGTTAAGATGTATGGGGGAATTAAAAATAAATATTTTTAGATATTAGGGCGCATCCTACTGGGATGGTGCCTGTCCAATAGCGTCCTCAACTCTATTCTCCCCATACCCCCATTTTGACATGTCGAACACACTGACCCTCCGCATATCTCTGCGGAACTTGCCTTCATAGGCACCGTGAGTCGCTCTATGTAATACACAAGTATTATCCCAGAATGCGACATCGTTATTATTCTCCCAATGGTGACAGAAGATATATTTTTCCTGTAAGCAGTGATCCCAGACCTGTTTGAGTAGAGCCTGACCCTCTTCAATATCCATACCTTCAATATGATGCGCATATGAAGATAGGTATATATTCTTACGCCCGCTAGGCTCATGTATTTGGATAAGTTTATGCCGTGCGGTGATATGGTCCATGACATTGATATCCTTCTATTTGTGATATTGTCAGTAAGTGTACACATGTCGAATACCATAATATAAAAAGAATTGACTCAGCCTAAGGGGAGTATCAAATTGGTCGGCGGGCAGGACTTACAAATAATGGTGAATCTGGATTTGCGACCTTGCGGTTATGATAGAGGCTATTACATGTCACCAGGCCTTCCAGTTTCTCCTTCATTTCCGGAGATAGGTCATCGTAGGCTTGGCGTGAGTCCAAGTATTCAGTGTGACCTCCTGTCCCGGGAGGAGGCAGTTCCACCCCGCGAAGGATGCTTATGCCTGTCCGTCGTGGATTGAAGGCGCCATCAGTGTGCCACGTAGCATTCCCGTTAGCTGATGCTGAGCGATGAGGATCATGTTGAATGTTGACGATCTCGTTCTTGTCATTCAGATTTCCGACGTCGAAGATCTCGTAGTATGGAATTCGTGGCTTGATCTTTCCAGACTTGTAGTGCTGTGCTACGCTGTCTAATTCACCCCATTGACGGCCCAAAGCAATCAACGACTCATCAGTAGCTTTTGTCTGGCGGATAATTGCCACTCCATACTCAGCAAGGATATCAGTCAGTTCCTGGAACTCGGCTTCCGATAGTGGCTGAGAAAGATCTGGTCCAGAAATCTCACACGCGAATGTATTGTGGAGCGGTTTGATCTGGAAACGGCCTTGTTCTGCGATACTCCCCATGTTGACCTGGTAGACGGCCGTATCAAGTAGGAATTGTCAAACCCAAATCGAGGTGATAGGCCAAATGCTTCCCCAGCTTTGCGATTCTGGATAGGAGAGAGGTACAATGTTTATAATGCTAGCAAGTGCAAACAAAAACACATAATGTCACACTCGGGAAGATTTTGGGCTTACAAAAATATCTCGGAAAGGGTTATAGCGTGTTCTAACGGGCCGACATATCCGTGGGCGCCTTCAGGCTTGAGAAAGATCTCCAGGCGCGGTCAACCTGGCATACATTATCCGGTTCACGGACCTAGCTCGACCAGAGCAGAAATCTAGGGCTTCGGCAACTTCCAAGCCGGCTCCAAGAAGTTCTGCGAGACCTTCGCTGGTCACGGTCCTAGTCTTAATATTGAGGCCTGCAATATCCGTACAGCGCTTATTATGGTTAGTGCCTGCGTTTGCTAGCTTGAAACGGACCCCGGAGCTTTCGTCAGTGACAAGAACTAGATAAACTGTTCGAATAGTCTGCGCAGCTTAGCTTGACCCTCTTCCACGCATTGTTTTTGCACTCTAATCATGTTAGATCCCTCAGCAGATAACCTTCCCAAGTTCAATGATTTGCCCCCGATTAACGGAGCACCCAAGGGTGCTGCTTGGCTCTGGGGCGAGAATGACGAGGTAGATAGCATCCCTGGACACTCTCTTCGTATCGGTGCTGAAGATACGGTGCATAGTTGGGGCGCTTGAACCTTCTGACACCGCAACGCGTTGCGTTCGCAGCCAAGCTGATTAAAGATGGTGAAGTTGTTAACTTAGAGTAAAACCCTTCTTCCTCAAGTGTGCCAACGCTGCTGATATTCATGTGCCAAGCTGGAGAGCAGACCTCCCAAATCCTCCTGTGTTTGGCCGGGAACCGTTCAAACACACTATTAAAAGACTTTCTCCACAAGTGTTCGACGACCTTTACGACATGAACACTCAGAGTGGCTCGCAGGTTGGTACGAGCCCCGTGTCATACTTTACCATCGCTGACGGCAAAAGTGGGATGGATTTCGACATGTTGGTCACTTTCACGAAGGCAACTATATCTTCTACAACAATGTTAGTACAATAGGGACTCTTCAGCCAATACTTGCTATGCTAATAGATACTATAGCTATCACCAGATCAAATCACTTCGTCCAATCGCTGTGGAGTACATGCATGGTGTGAGCATGGCATTGGTGAGTTTAACATTGCCGGTTGCTACATGCCACCCTTTCTGATTGCATTTCCAGTTGGACGAGGAGTACTCATCGACTACTGGGACTATGCTGGGCGTTCTTACGATCCCAACACTACACATCGTATCACTTTGGAAGAAATCAGAGCTTGTGCCGAAAAGGAAAACGTGAAGTTCCAGTACGGAGACATACTAATCATCCGCTCTGGCTTTGTTGATGTGTATAATTCAATGGACACGGAACAGAGAGTCGCCCTGGGCACTAAGGATCCCAGAAAGTGCACCTTTGTTGGGGTCGAACAAACCCAACCTATGATAGAATTTCTTCATGACAACTATTTCAGTGCCGTGGCGGGAGATGCGCCGGCATTTGAAGCCTGGCCAACGAACCAAGATTGGTTCCATCACCAGTATCTTCTGTCTCTCTGGGGGGTACCAATTGGTGAGATGTGGGATCTTGAAAAATTGTCTGAGGTCTGCAAGCGACGTGGCCAGTATTCGTTCTTTTTCACAAGCAGTCCAAACAACGTCGCAGGTAAGCACGTGGTACTCTTAAGAAACCTAGATTCTACTAATCTTGACTGGAATAGGTGGTGTAGGCAGTGCACCAAATGCAATGGCAATTTTCTAGTGCTCAGATTCCTGGGGTACCGGCTATGTGCCTCGCGGATAATCGAACATAACAGACAATCCATACATAAGTATAGGGTAGTGGAAAGGCGCGACCAGTAATTGAGCTCAGTAACAAAGTCCATCTTAGTCTAGAGCCCTAGTAGTTAAATATCAGTCATTATTATTCGCGGAGTTAAGTATGTTCCAGAGGTGATGGGGTGAAGGCTTACATTTGCAATGTATTTATACCTTTATAGTGTGGTGGGTACCTCATACATATTTACATGTTTGTGAGTTGGCTTACGTACAGTAAGGTAACCTATAAGTAAAGACAAGAAATGGCATACGGTATAGTATCTTCTATTGTCAATATTGCCAAAGAAACTGCAAAAGCCAACTTGACTGGCCAAAGCTTTCGATAATTGAGAGCGAAGAATGGTTCCCCCTGTATGGCGACTAGATCTCCAGCCTAAATTCAGTTGCAGAATCGTCACTTAGTAGCCTTGCTAAATTCCAATTGCTCTTGCGAGTCCAATTTCGGCTCTTGGTCCCCAGCACCAGAGGTATGAGCCCTGACCGTAGCCGCTTGATGTGACTCATCACCAAAAAGAGCAGCGATTTCTTCCAAAGGTAGATTTCTTGTGTCAGGGAAGGTGAAAAAAACCCAGATGGCGCCGATAGCTGTGATGATGATAAAGAATAGGTAGTAATGCCAGCCAATGGTTTCAAATGCCTTCGGAGCTGCTTGAAGCCAGATGATGTTGGCGAGGCATAAGCTACCCATACCCATCGTCATACCTTGCGACCGTAGATGGTTCGGAAAGATCTCCCCAAGATAGAAATACGTCGGACCATCTAGGAAAACGGCGTAGAAGAAAACATAGACATAGAGCATAGCGACGCCGGCCGCTAAGGCCGATCTGTTGTCAGTCCCTAGATATTTGGCCTGAAGAGCAGCCTCAGTTGCGACTGCGGCAACGCAGCCAACCATACCAATAGTGATAAGATGTGGCCGTGGGAGTCGATCAACCACAAGAACCGCCATGATATTCATCACAAATGAAACAGCGAGCCAGCCTGCTTGTAATTGTAGCTGTTGTTCTGAGTCATAACCAAGGCCACTATACAGCATAGTGCCGTAGTCTAGAAGAACGTTAGCTTATAGAATACTCCTGACAAGGTAACTCACTATTAATGACCAAGACGCCTGACGACATGAGTATAAATGGTAATCCGCAGCCAATGAATAGCCTCTTTCGATATGATGCCGTTGTCAACAATTCCCTGGTGGAAACACGGTTGATTCGCTCAAATTCAATCTGTTCCCGCATGAGGCGAAATTCTTCTCGAGCAAACGACTCGTCATAGTTGTTCGATGAATGATGTAGGCTGCGGACAATCTGCCATGCCTTTTCATACTCGCCACGGATCAGGAGGTATCTTGGGCTTTCAGGAGCAAAGTAGACACAGATCAGTGTCAAAATGCATGGGAGGCAGCCCAGTGCCAGAGGAGCCCTCCATTCATTCCCTCCACCGCTCTTATAGTAGTAGAATCCCACTCCGACGTATGACGCAGTGACATAGCCGACGTTGATAAAAATCGGATGGATATCACTCAACATTCCGCGGTCCTTTGGGGGCACAATCTCTGTGATCCATAGAGGCACTGTAGTCAACTCGATAAAAGCTCTAATGATATCGGTTAATTGAGACACTATATCGCAAGCAAAGCGACAAAGCTTACCCTAGTCCCTGGAAGAATCGAAAGACAATAAACATTGGTGGATTGACCGAACCAGCCAATAGCGCATTGGAAATCAGAATGACGATAGCGCCTAGGGTTATTGAGAACTTCCTGCCGTAACGGTCGGATATCTTGCCAATGCACATTGCTCCAACGAAGCCGCCGGCATAGAATAGACCGTTCATAGCCCCGATCAGGTCGGCAGCATTTGGCGCTGTGAGAAGGCCCATGTATTCGAGAAAGGAGGGCTGGCCCAAAGTAGTTGCAATGATACTTCCTGCATAGCCATAAGCCGCAGATCCCCAAGAGACACCGATGATAAGAAAGACAGTCTTTAAGGTGTACGGACGGCGCTGCGTGGTCTCCATCTTGCCTTTTCCCCCAGGAGTTTGTTCAAACTCCAGCATATAGCATGGTGTTTCTATCTAGGGGGCTTTATAAGTGCATTGGCCACTCGTGGAGCGTGCGCTGCGGGATAATCGAGCCGTGGAATTGTCTTGGAAATGCGTGAAATATGCTAGTTAGATTGAGAACGAGGCGGTAGTATTGGCCCCCGCAACCCAAGATCCGTTGGATGCGGACCTACCAGTCGCATAATAGGCCCGCACAGTTCGGTCTAGTCGTTTGAGGGACTATCTGCAGCGGCCGAAGTCGTCAGAGAAGGGCGAGGCTATGAGGACTAGCATGGCCTCACTGGGGAATTTACTCGGCTGAACCGTCGGAAACCTTAGCCGATTATTTGTTCTCGCCGGATAATGCGAGCCGAATTGCTCGACACATCTAGTTCCCAGCTCATTCACGGAGTATGCCTGGTAAACAAATCAATATCTCAACCCTGAGCAAGGCCACTAGGCCCCTTCTCCACCTTCGATACGTTGTCCATTTCCTAGACCCCCAGCGGACCACCACGAACAAGCGGAGCTGGCGAACCCCGTAGCGAACCTCGCCGCAGTTGTGGGAGATCTGGCCCTGGAGGCTGTGGCGTCTTGTTTCGACGTCGAGATTCCGTGGAAATAATCACATTTCCGTGACCCTCAAAGGGACCGACTTCTTGTGTTATTGTAACAGCAAATTGCAATTTCATTTGCTCTGCATCCCCGAGCCACTACGCTTTGGTTTCTCTTGCCAGATGAGTGCCACTCCGTGCTCAGACGAACCGCCAACCCACGCTGCGGATGCGCGCAAGACGAAACGCTGCAAGCGCTCCGGTGCCCACAGTTGCGCACCCCTGGCCTGTTTCAGTTGTCGTCAACGCAAGACAAGAGTATCTATGCCCTCACGTGGCTTCTCTTGAAGCTGAATGTTAGGAAGAGGCAGTGAAACTAACTCTGTCCAGTGCGACGCGCAAAGCCTCGCACCCGGTGTTACCTGCATCGTATGCCAGAATTTGAATTTGCGTTGCGAGGTCAGCAAATTTTCAGACCGCAGAAAGTTAGTTTGATCAATTAGTCGAAGCAGTCGCTGCAGGAGCAGACCGTCGTATCTCAGGTAGGGCTCTCGAGAACACCTCCGCGCCCTTGACGACCAAATACAATCACTCAAGACCCTAAGCTGCCAGAGCATACCGAATCGGCATAATTTACTTGGCATCTCCTATGATGGTTCAGTAGCTAAGCAAACTTTGAAACTACCGGCCACTGTTATAAGTGAGACCCGGCTACTTGAACCTCTTGCTAGAAGTGTTGATGAACGTTTGTTACCGCCACCGAAAGAGGAAGCCCAGAGTGAGAATGCAGGCCACATCGTAGATAGGAGTGGCCTGTTCTACCGGCATTCTAGCCTGTCCCAGCCCCAGGCCTCATCGGAAAAAGCAGATTGAGATCCATCCCTCTTGGAGGACACATGAAGCTGCGAACAGCCTTGACAAACCCAGACAAGCCAGTTCGCCGACAATCAACGCTTATCCGACCGATGTGAATCTTTTGCATCTGGTTTCGGGCGCCGAGCCGGAAATTCAATCACATAGCAATGCTATTCACTCGATAGCTCCTCGAGTTCTATCGAGCGGGGTCTTAGCGACACGGAACTCATATCATGACTTAATAACAGCACATGTACGAGGCTGAGGTGATGACCCTTCGACTCGATCTGGCTTTGACGACTAGCTATCAGACAGATCCTATCTAGGCATATACTTTGGCCTAACATACCCTCTGCATGTCTCTTCACCTACCGGTATGGTTCGCAATCATCATGCTCCTGACTATCAGTCGTTTGAATTACAGATTGACATGAACTCTACTCAACCGAAAAAGTCGTTATTTAACAACTACTGAAATTTCCAAACCCTGAGTATTGCTGTCATCCACAGTGAGAGTTTCCTGTCCCATCGTGATCGGGGGCAACGATCACAATGCTACTCAAAGTTCCTAGAGAGCTCTCTGTTAGCTTGTAATTCGCGGTGCGCGCATTAGTTCCAGCCTACACAAGAATCGCCAAATCCGATATCGTGTCGGAACTTGAAGATCCAAACATCGCGACTTTACAAGGGATGCTCTTTCTCAGCTACTACGTGATGACCTTGGGTCGTGATAGGACTGTGTGGATATGCTGTGGTGAGTGCTTCTTGATTGTCACTCTATCAGAATCGCGACCTGACTGAGTTGGATAGGGATTGCATAGCCTCTGACTTTCGATCTTGGCCTGCACCAGACATTATTGGAAGGTGACGGCGACGAGATCCCTGATGTGATGAGTAGGAGAACTCGTCGCACTGTCGCCATAAGCTGCCTGATTTCTGAAACTCTCTGGAACTTCCATCTGGGCTGGCCGTACTCCACCACTCTGTCCTGCCTGTCGCCCGGACCCTCCAATATTGACGTGTCCGGCAAAACGACACTGAGAGCCTGGTTTGACCTTTGCATTTATGTCGCCGAAATGACGACAATTAGTCAATGGCCAACTGCCGATCCAGGCCCATACGCTCGACAGACCATCAAATTTCGAGCAAAAGCTGACGAGGTCGCACGCGACGCTACCAGTGGACATTGTATTAGAGAGGGACAATCTGTCCGGTCTCGACTCTCTGAGCTTTGGATTGCACATGCAGTACTTCCGGATCCAAATGTTGCTGCATTCACTTCCCAACTCAAAGTACAGAAAGCGCAATTGCGCAAACAAGGACGGAGCGATACTCGGCCACCTGTTCTGAAGGGCTGGACGCATGAAGCCTCACGTCGACTTGTCCACGATAATGCCGTGGAAATTGCGCGTCTGGGTATCACTTATATTAGGACATTCGCCGTCCAAAACACCGCCACCGTTATGCTGGACAATTCATACGTGGCCGCAGCAACCTTAGTTGCCGAAGCTCTCAGATCAGACCGTGCGGCCGTGGACCCAACCGATGCTGAGTGGTTGCGACTGCTGGACGAAATCCTGAAATCTCTACAGGTCTATTTCTCCATCGCCATTCGCATGAGGAGTAACCCTGGCTCGGCTGATTAGCAGTTACACTTCTCTTGCCCATATTTTCGTAGACGCTACGGAACTGGCTTTGGAAAGTTACTCTATCAACCATAGCGGCCAAAGTATGTCTAGAGGCGCTTGGGGCTCTCTTGAAGCGGCCAGCCATTTCATCTTGGACCCTTCTCTCTTTAATTTTACCGATTTCGGCCCCTGGAAAAAACCCATTTTATTAATGGATTTGAAAAGAAGAAATTTATTTCGCGTTTTCAGGGGGATCATCTCCCCTTGTTGTCTTTGGAGAGTATGGGACTCCCCTAATGCGATGTCAAAACTGCAAGGCGATCAAATCTCCTATGATTGCCATGGTCTATAGTGCAGTGGCCGAGAGAAAATTCCACTGTTCAACTCAGCACAAGATAGCTCAGTGGATATGCGCCCGGCTTTGCAAAGTCCGTACAAAATAGGATCCGCCCCTAAGTAGCGGGCCTCGAATCTCCAGCGCAGAAGAGCTAATCGTGCGGGGCAAGTCTGAGAGACTATTTCAGACAACCCCGAAGCACTTATGTTCTCTTCGTAGTCGATTCGAGGATCACTACGCACAATTATATCGAGAAATATGAGAGCCCTTCAATTCCATGCTAGGTGCGACCTTCGAGTGGACGATGTCCCCGAACCACATTGTGGACCGAACATGGTCAAAATTAAAAATGAATGGGCAGGAATCTGCGGGTCAGGTAAAGTTGAATAGTCCTTTTCTACACCTCGGTTAATCACTGACCACAAGAGACTTGCACGAGTACTTGGTTGGACCATTCACGGTCCCAAGCAAGCCACATTGTCTAACAGGGAAGACTGCGCCCTGCATTCTGGGTATGTAGAGAATCTAAAGTTGGGGTTCTAGAAAACTCAACCATCGGATTACAGGTCATGAATTTGCTGGGACGATCGTCGAAGTTGGATCCGACGCAAAGAGGTGGAAAGTCGGCCAGAGGGTGGTTGTAGAACCCATCATATATGACGGTACCTGCGGAGCTTGCAAGCGCGGCGTTCCCAAGCTATGCGAAAAGCTGGGATGGGTTGGATACAGTGGTACTGGTGGCGGTTTCGCCGAGTATGTGTGTGTGGACCAACAGACGGTTCATAGTCTCCCTGAAAATATCCCTCTTGATGTGGGTGCTCTCGTCGAGCCACTGGCAGTCGCATGGCATGCAGTCAAAATTAGCAAGATCGAACCAGGGCAAACAGCTATGATCATGGGCGCGGGTGAGTCCACCTCGAGATATTCGACTGCTTCTTCAAGAATCTTTCAAGTGACCTCCTAACCAGGTCCGATCGGACTCGCAATTCTTTTGTCGCTTCAAGCATTTGGGGTGCAATCCATCCTGGTCTCCGAGCTGTCCCCTCAGCGAATTGCCCGAGCCCAGGAGTTTGGCGCCAGTGCTATCTTTGACCCTTCGAAGACAGACCTCAGTGGCGCCCTTCGCGAGTTTGGAGAAGCAGAAGGCCCTCATGTCGTTTTTGAATGTGCAGGTGTTGCAAAGTCCTTCGAAGGAGCCCTTATCTCTGTACGGCCAGGCGGTGTGGTCGTCAATGTGGGAATGTTTGAGCGGCCGGTCACCTTCGATCCAAATATGATTTTGCGTAAGGAGATTACGTATCAAGGCGCATTGATCTACTCATCTGAGGAATTTGAAGAGGTTATAGAAGCAATCAGCTCAGGTAAATTGCCTCTGTAAGTTCATGTCGGCCCGTTCTAACATGACTTCTCATAGGGAAACTAAAGCATGTCGAGAAGATGATCACAGCTAGATTGCACCTGGATCAAGTGGTACATGATGGATTTGAGGCTCTGATCAAGGAGAGATCACACATTAAAGTTATAGCCACCCCGTGGCAAAAGGGAGAATGCAAGCTGGAAAAGCGCTCCCAGTGATCTGGCGCCGAATAAACTCAGAGAGCCGACGATATTATTAGATGTCATGTCACTAGTGTCTCTTTTATTTCTCGATTTAATCACTTCCCTATCTCTTGATGAGGCGCGGTATTGCAAAATTAGAATACCACTTGCTCATCGGCGCCCAGCTTACTGTGTGCTCTAGAAATTGACTGTGATCAAGGGATCAACCAACTAAGAACCTGTAGATGTTATCTCGCTACACACACAAGAGAGATTCAAATCAGTATTTCTCCTACAGAGTCCCAGAAGGTCATGAAATGGTTGCCGAATAAGAGGAAATTCTCCACCCTGGGATCCATCACAAAGATTCACAGACGCAAATCTGTCAGAAATTATACAGAATGCTTCCGAACAATAGAGGTAGCTCCAAAACGGAGAAATTCATGAAATTAGTCGGGAGTGACACAAATTATACCACAATCAAGGCGATAAAACAAGCTCAGTCAAGTAAGGGTCCATGAGATCTTTCATGCTCCATCGGCATTGGATATACGTGCTCTATGATCCATCGCGAGATGATATACCCGTTTTGGTAGCCGCACCCAGCTAATGTCGCCTCAAATTATAGTCATCGACATATCCGCGCGGCGACCAGCTTCGAGGAACAATCGCGAATGACACGCCTAGCAAAGGTAATGTATGACCTTACAATAGTGATGCTGAATGGGAAAACAAACCGTGAATGTTTTCATCGCAAGCGGATCTCAGTGCTGCACTTGCACCGTCCTCCATCTCCGCAAATTCTGTTCCGGCTGCCCTGAGGTCGTTGAAGCATTCTTGGGTAAAAGTCTTTGTCTTCATCCACTTTGATCATGTATACCTGATCAGTTTACATGATAATTCAAGGGAAACAGTGTCTCATATCATGGGACGACATAAAGAACCCTAGTGCTGTGTTGAGGTGACGTGTGTCGAAGACACCGCAGTAACCAACGGAGGGCGAATTTGGAAGCATTATATTCTGGAGAACTAACCGCGTCAAGATAACCAGCAAGTGGTCCCTGCAGAACGAGGCAACCTCTCAACGAACTGTCCTCGCCATGTTGACGTTGAAAATGATGCAATCTGTACATTACGCTAATGAAGTTGATCTGTTTTCTTTTCAAATCGGGCTTGGCTAAGATTGCTTGTGCTGCTTCGATATGTGTGAGAAAGAAGCCATCCCGGAAGCGCTTGGGCATACGATCAAATCCTAGGAGCCCATCATGTCCCACAATTCCCGTATTTGCGATGACAACGTCCACTGAATGCCATGGAGGGACTTCCAGCATCTCGAAAAGCTCAACTTGATCTTCTCAGCACGCCTCATAGCACGGGACCATATGTCGCCCTAATATTGTGATCAGTAGTCATATTCCAGCATATAGGAGACAAAACCCATACGTCTCTGATTGCCGGGTCGATCCTCTAGTAACAATAATACTCTCTCCTTTTACCTAACTAAGGTTGACAGTATACATTACTTTGAACTCCCGGGTTTGGGGTGATAATGCTCGTTCGCACGCTTCAGAGTGAGTACTACTTGTAAACGTGGTTACTTCGCTTGGTAAGATATGATGAGGCCACAGGGATTCTTTCTCAGAGGACGTGAATCAACTCTGGAAAAAGAATTTAGGTTCACTTGTCTGATGATGTGTTAGGTGGCATCATTGGAGAGGTAATTCAGCTACGTACAACGCTTCCAATCTTGTGAACCTATCGACGAGATGTATAAGAAGCATAAACAGCCATGATATTTCTCCCCATACTCAGAAGAAAAGGGATTGAGAAGACTGATCTTAAATGTTATGGCTTTGGTTTCACAGCTTGGATTTTCCTTGCTCGCTCACGTCAACAACAATCTTCCCCCAGGCTGTAGCAGTAGTCAGCAGTTTCATTGCGTCTACAACCTGCTCCAAACCGTGAAAACTCTTCTCTGTATAGTTTAAGGGGACAATATCGCCCTTATCAAGAATTTCCAAGAGCTTGTTCCACACATCCACCACCGTCTGGGGGTCTTGGTTCGTGTACTCGCCCCAAAAGAGACCCGACAAGCTGACGTTCTTCACAAGCAGTCGGTTTGTCGGGATCTTCTCGATTTCGCCGGCGGCAAACCCGATGACACATAACCTCCCGTCCCATCGAATGCATTTGAGTGACTGTGAGATCATACCGACAGGGTCCAGAACGACATCAACACCGCGATTATTGGGTGTACAGCGACGAGCCTCCGACGCCCAATCGCCATTGGAGTCGACAACATACGAGGCGCCAAATCGTTTCGTGATCTCGCGTTTCTTTTCTGTGTCGGCCGATGCAATGACTTTCATACCCAATGCATTGGATATAGTCACCGCCGCAAGGCCTACACCTCCGCCAGCACCATGTATGAGTACATAGTCACCTGCAGTTGATCAATGTCAGTATAATGCAATTTTAATCAGGTAAAAAGATGTCTTCATTTACCTTTTTTTGCCTGCGCTCTCAGCATCAGGGCCGCGTAAGCCGTCGGTACAGTGTAGAACAGACTGCTTGCTTCCACGTAACTCCATCCCTTAGGAACGAGTCTGAGATTTTCTTCAGGTGCCTGGATCATCGTTGCAAACGCGCCCAGGCCAGCGCCGAATACCCGATCACCCTTTTGGAACTTTGCCCTGGTGCTACGGGTGGGGGTCGCCAAAATCTCGCCCGAGAACTCATTGCCCGCTATCCACGGGAACGGCGGCTTTTGCTGGTGTTTTCCTTGGATCTGTAAGACATCGAAAAAGTTGATGGCGGCAGCGTGAATCCGGATGAGATACTTGTCAGGATCCGGACTTAAGTCGGGAAGCTCGACAATCCTCAGATCGTCTATACCTGTGGCAAGCTTTTCGAGCTGATAGGCCCTCATGCTTGTAAATTGCGCGATGAAGAGTGAGGAAAGGAAAGATAATGGACTTGGAATGGCTATCAGGTCAGCGACGCGTTCTGGAATTGGCTGAGATTCATTGTGATATTGCTACACTCGCGCACATAGCCGGAATTCTTATGGAACTTGGTCCCCGCTTCGGCAAACATTCGCCGAGTTGGTCTGGACATGGCGTGGGAAAAGTGGGTTTCAAGGCAAGGACCATGATCACCACAGACCTCGAGACTCAAGAATTTCTGACACAGAAATTCCCATGCCTCGGTTGAACCTGGCCTTGGCCCGATGACGGTCTTCGTTCTGGATGTACAGCCAGCTAATACAAGAGCGTCATAGCTCTAACCATATCACCACTTTCGCGGAATAGCAAAATCCAGGCAAGAATAACTTCACCCACGGGAGATACTTAGAATTCATTGATACTTCAATTCAGGCGAAACGAGATAGTCAACCAAAGAAATACTCGGGAATGACTTAGAACATCGTTTTCGTACAATTTTAATTTCGTTCAATGCTTAGGAGAATCTAAACATACTTAATTTAGCTAGTGTCTACTTCCCCGTATTATGGATTCGTCTATTATTGCTATTCTAGATCTCGCCGCCGCTTGACATCGCCACCGCCTATTTAGTATAACCAACCTGAGTATAAATCACTAAACATCTTGTCGTTTACAAATCAGGTAGGAAGCCTTATTACCTAGCCCCGACTAGCTATTACAACACGGCCTGAAGTATAGCCATTCATAGCTTTTTAATGACTGTATGGAGACGGTAGATAGAACATCCTCTAATTTCTGTAGCCTTACTTTCGTAGCGAATATTTGTCTCAGGGAAACAGTATATTTAAGTGATAACTAAGGCTAAAAAGTATTTGAATTATTCGAACAAAACCAAAAAGCACAATAAAAGCAAAGTCGCAGGGTCACCAATACGTCAAGTATGCATAGCTAGTTGTAGATGATGGATGACGGAGAACTGCTATTTTCCAAAGTTAAGTGATATCCTTATTATAGATTAAAATGACACCTTTGATCTAGTAGGAAATGAGCTTACTCCTGTCAGACTGTGCCACCTGGTTTTAAATCAGGGCCGCTCCTGCCTTGCGCTCCCGCATCTTGGACCGTACAAATCACGCACCCAGTAAAGCCTGCTTAGCTGCGCGACAGCACAGATTTCATGACGGCCAACAACTTCTCAGGACTGTCATTCTCCCATTGCTGACTCCTCCATGCAATGAAGAAATCCGGCCTAACGACAACACATCCTGACTCGGCAACGCCCCTAATCCTAGCCCAGTCAAGGTAGCGATCTTCATATTCCTGCCGAAATCCAATGGAGTAGACTTTAAACGGTACGCTGAGCTCGCTCGAGACCTTTGCAGCCGCGGGGCGCCAGCCATCACCACCAATCCCCGTGAACAGGGTAAAGTGGGCCTTGCCAGCGAGATCGTAGGTCGATACCGCTTTTGAGGGGATAGTCTTGCTGAGCCAGACGTGTGGTACGCGGGCGCCGGGGTATGTCGTTGGGTGGTAGTGCTCGAGTGGATCAGAGTCGAAGGTGGGCTGAGGTCCCTGGTCGGATTTGTGTACTGCTGATGATGTGTACCGTTGGTTCATTTCGATACCCAGGCCGTGTTCTTCACGGTTGATCATCCGTAGCGCGGCCTGTAGATCGGCACGGCGCTTACGACCCCGTTCTGAGTCTTCTTTTAGGATGTTGAATGCTTCTACTCGCGCGGCAACCGTCGGTTCCATATTACCTAGCACTTCCCAGATCTTTTTGTGGTTGCGGAGTGATGCGTTTGCCCTTGAACCAAAAATATCAGCTTGTCGGCCAGAGATGCTGACCTGTATGATAAAACTCACTGCGTGACAACATCGAGACCAACTGGCTGGCGCTCAATACTGTAACTGTCTAGCAAACTGCTTCCAGCAATTCCTACCCCGTAAAGTCAGCTCATCTTGGAAGAGTTACATACGTCTGTGAATTCTGAAGACTGCTTACCTCTGTCGACGAACGCGACTTTCCATGCCAGATTGTGTGCGTCTTGGATGCAAGTGTTAGACCCTAGTCCGTGATTCGGCGGATGTCGGTGCACGGCGTCGCCCAAGCAATAAACGTTGCCTTTTGAATATGCCTCAGCCGCTGTCTCATTGATCATCCAGGTCGAAATGCCCTTGATTTTTACCTCGACGGTATCGTCACCAATAAATTCGTGCACGCGTTTGACGTATTCTGCCGGGCTTCGCTGTTTTCTCTCGGCGCCGAAGGTAGGGAAAATAATACAAAGCCATTCGTGCCAGGGCTTCACCATTCGAATGCACCCGATCCAGGCATAGTCTGGGTGCTCCTTGTCGGGCGTTAAGAGCCAGTGCAGATTTCCCATGCGGTTCTCCATGAGATGTGCCATATCGGCCTCCATTAGAATGTTGATGGCATATCCCTGGTCTGGACGCTTGATCATCGGAATCTCAAGGTGCCTCATGATAGGGCTGCGCGCCCCATCCGCACCGAATAGATACCGCGACCGGACTCGATAGTCTTGGCCAGTCACCTTGTCGTGGAGGGTGGTTGTAACGCCCTTCTCGTCAGGTTCTTGCACAAACGAGACAAACTTGGTGTCCCATCTACATTTGAACCCGTTCATAGTCGCGTACCGTATGAGTATTGGCTCAAGCAGAGTTTGAGGAAGATCCAGTGGGTCTGAAGGGCTGGCGAGTTCATAATCGCCCTACAAAGTGCGGTTAGAGTTGCTACTGGCCACCTGATAACGTATTGAATCCACACCTTTCGCCTTGGGTCATTACCCCAGGAATATATGCGTGCATACTCCTCGCCAGCCATACTGTTAGACCAACGGGTGTGTACCATCGTGTCTCCAGCCGTTCCAACTTGGTAGCACTCCTTGTCGACTCCAATATCTCGGAGACAGTCTTATCTACAGTCAGAGCATTGCCGCTAATTTCAATCCGAAATGCATTTTTCTCACCTATTGCTGCCATATTGGTGATATGAGCTCGTGGTGTGTCTGCATTGCTGGGATCCTGGCTCACGATCAAGCCAGTCAAGCCTAATAGGTCGCAATGAGTTTGACGTCCGTGTGAGCAAATATGCCATTTGCACCCACCGTGCTGCGTAAGGAAGCATGCTAATGAAGCTCCCGCTGGACCGGTACCAACAATCAGGTAGTCTGTGTAGACATCGGCACCAGGCTGATTGCTATGGGCTCCATTGACGATGTTTTCATTTACCCCGTTCATTTGAGACATATTGCAGTGTTGTCGTCAACGTGGCCGTGCGGAGGTTGACGTTGTGTCTTTCAGAGCCAATCGCAGGTTCCAGTTGGAGAGGTATATACCTCACCTTGACCCGGCACTTTTATAGATGATGAAGTTAACATCTACCGCGATCAGAAGACCAAGTATGGGCTCCCACATCTACCCCATGGCTTCTTGCTGCCAGCATACGAGGTAGGCTTGTGTGTTAATGACGGAAGGCGTATTCGTAGCTAAGTGGCTTGTTCCTGCCGAGGCAAGTAACTACCCCAAACTCTAAAAGGTGAGCTCAAGTAATTTTTCAAGGCCTCAAAAGTCCTAGCTCACAATTCCGCCGCTTGGCGCAAGTGTGATGTAGTTAATCCTCGCTCGCTCTTTGCGCTGGAAAAGCAGCCCGGCTCCTTCGTTCATCCGAGAATGGAGACATTCGGAAGTGGAGATGGGGTAGGGCCCCGGAAATCTTGGGGTCAGCAGGCATGGCCTCCGGAACCCCATCCCATCTGACATGAAATCAATGCTGCTTTTGGTGGGATCGATCTTACTAAGCCATGGCTATCGACTTTTAGACAGATGCATGAGTCGAAAGGCTCTAAGTCATTCATGCAGACCAACGGCGGATTTCAACCAATATGAATCCGGCTTTTCACCCGAACGTTATGGCAAAATCAGAGAACCACATGAGGATTCCACGCTGTACCTGAACAATGGGCCTGCAGAATGAATCACCTTTTCATGAGCCTGTCAAGGGTATTCGTCATCTCCCTACAACATGGCCATGGAAGCTTTGCGATCTCGTCCCTGTACATACCGAGTACCTTCAAGCTGCCGTATTTCTGTCCTGTTGCTGGTCTTGAGCACAGCTTCTTCCACGCCACTAACGCCGAGAGAAATAGGATGACCGGGAGCCAGATAGGCAAATTCCGCGCCGGTGTTTGCAAATGCTCATCACATTTATCCAGGACTAGCCATGCAAAGTCCATAGCTTTGTCTGGGATGTCAATTTGTTCCATGTGTAGCGACGAATTGCGTTGACTTTCACTCAATGTTGGCGCCTTTCCATAGCCGACCAAATGAGGAAGTCTCCCGAGTTCGGGGCACGTCAGCTGGAGTTTGACAAAGTAGTAAAAGGCAATGATATCAGTGCCAACATGGGGTTGGAAATACTGCTCCCAGCGACAAAGGGCAGCTAAAAAGTCAGCGCTGAGGCGAGAGTATTCTGACTGGGAGGTTAAGGGGACGTAAGGGTTTCTTGGCAACATGCGGTTGCTTGACGACTTATCAGCAGCGCTGACATGGGAATCGGTGTAGAAGGATATCGAGAGATGGCATCGTTGCATATAAATGATGTCGCTTAGGAGCACGGTAAGTAATAGGAGGCCATCTTCTCGACTTCGAACGTCTTCTGGCAAAGCATAGCCATGCGTGAGCGAGTTATACAGGGTGCGAAACTGATGATTCGACGATGGCATTTTTATGAAAAGCTCAGTCCTCGAAAAGTGGGGGGCCAGCCCATAATGTAATGCGTGGATGGTATCGATCAGAAGCAAATAGCTCAGAAGAGAACTGTATGCAATTAGTGTCTAGCCTGTGCGAATTGCTCGTCGTCCACTCTACCTTTTTCTGCTGACATCTTTCTCCGGCATATCCGACGAAGAATACAGCGGCGAACAGCCCTCGGGAAGGTGTAACCGTCTGGAGATCTGCAACTCGTCAATGCCATTGGTAATGCAGGTCGGTTGAGGGCCTATAACGACTCACAGTGACAACATTGCAAAGAAGAACAGAGGACATCCTCTGATACGCCTGGTCCGTGGACAAAACGCCATAAGTAATTAGGAGCGAGGCCTGGAATAATTGGACCATCAGTCAATCATGGAGACCCATGTCTAGAATTGATCAGGTGGAAAAGGGGAAAGGGAGTGGGATTAGACCTTACGGCTATCACAGCCTCTAACATTCGAGCTTCACGGTTGTCGACTTCTAGCATAACGGACCACAATCTCGCACCAGCAACAAATAATCCTGCCGCGACCTCGGCTTGATCAGTACCATTTGCGATGGTATAGGCACCCGCGTTGTACGCTGGAGCTGACGCGGCCGCTCCCAGACATGCAATCGCATACTGCAGATAGGGAGGAAGTGGGTTTGAAGGCCAGTTTGCAATATCGACAGCATCTGTGAAGATGTGATTGAACGATGTGAAGAATAACTCTTGGAGCCGCTCCATTTGATCTTCTGACAGGATGGTTGGGACTTCAGACAACATGACCACCGGATATGTGTAGGCTCTGACCGAGTTCTGTTTTTCTGCGACTCAGAGAAAGTCCACCCATAGGAAAGGATCTTTGGTGCGCTTACCTCGTCCACGTGCTCTGCGCCATCTATCACTGAGTCGGCGTCATGCAAGGCGTCGCCCTCGGCACCCTCAGTGTGCAACAGTGCAGCCCGGAAACGGTCCAGGAAAGTTATAGCGGGGCTTTCATTCGCATCGTGCACATCCCATCGAGTTGGATGACGTTCGCCTGGCCACTGCCGTGAGCTAGAGAACCTCACCTCTGGACCTGCTTTGGGTTGTTCTGCGGCCATATTGGGCAAGAATCTCCTGAAGAATACAGATCTACCAAATTTAGAGATGGGATGATTGGGGACATTCCCAGTAAGGGGTGTTGTGGCCAACCATGTGAATGAACTAGCCAGGCGCGCGTTCTTGGTTTTATATTCAAGGTCAGATGCTGCCCTTTGTATCCGTGCCAAGTTCAGCTTTGGCCTAGCCAAATATAGAGTTTTTCCGACGCTGTTTTGAACACTCTTGGCCCGAGGTTGTGCGCTGACCCATGCATCCTCGTCTCCCCTTTTGCCTCACTGCAAGTTCTTGTTCATAGGTGCGTTGCCTGCCGGTTAAACGCGCCTGGCGCTGAACCGTGGAGGCGCACTGTGAAAACTTCGAGAAGACCCCGGATTTTACAAGTTCCCCCGGTTCCACACCCGTTACTTACAAGCGATTCCAATTCAAAAAGGCGCGCCGAGCTTTTGGCTATGGCCGGTATGAGTATTATGTCCCCAGGGGCCACGCGACAAGACAAGAAGGTGCGTATATAGCTTGAAATGGTAGCTGAAGGGTGCGGGGCGCTGGACGATAGACATTCCGTTGTCGCGCGCATGCTGATGCTTCTTGAATTGTTACACGGAAAGCTGACGGGAATGGCAGTGTGACATCTGCTCTCGATGCTTTGCGAGGTCAGAGCACCTTGCCAGGCATCGCCGCACTCGTACGCAAAGAATGTTATTCTTGTGTCTGCCCGATGTTAACTTGTGCCCTTGATCCCAGATACAAAGGAGACACCATTCACTTGCCCACATTGTCGAAGGTCTTTTCAACGGTCTGATGTGAAAGCCAGCCATGTCAAAAAGTGTCCCGCGGCACCTTCGGACTATGATATGGGGGATTCAGGCAAAGATGGTTCAGCACGTAAACGTGTCCGTATTGCTTGCAATGGCTGTCGCAAGCGGAAAATGCGCTGTGACGGGAACGAACCATGCGCTCCGTGTCAGTCAACCGCATCTATCTGCCATTATAAGGCGATAACGACCTCCTCCAGGGCACCCAGTCAATCATCAAACACCGACGGTTCTACTAGAGCCTATCCAGAACAGATAGTCGACGCATTTGACAGCCGCTTGGCGGGTGATGAACCACCGGACTCGTCCCCAATGAGGATTTCGCAGTCAAACCTGAGCAATGGTACTGCTCTGAACGACAGCATGGAACTGGAGACAGCAATCGGTGTCAGCATAGAATCTGTACAAAACGCCGATTCAGGTGCGCTTTCACTACCGTTTCAAGGAGGTCCGGCCATTCCTACCTTTGACAGCGTGAATATCGAGGTTCCAGAAATGTCCATTCATCATGAAAGCCTTCTTTACCCATTCCCGGATCCGACCGGGGTCAATGAGTTCTGGCAAATGCCCTCAGTGGTTTGGCCTTGTGTTCCCAATGGCATGAGTTGCAGGCTAACCTGTCCAGAATTCCCAATTCTGGTTCGACGGATCGGACTTCACATGGAATGAAGGCTTCTTTGACTCAAGTTCGCCCCTTTTGGACCATGCACTACCATCGTCGATGCAAAGCTTGACCGCCGTGATGCAAGAGTACTTCGACCGCAAATCGAGAGCACCTTCGCCGGCATTCAACAAAGCAAGAAAGATGTGGTACTCGGCTCCGCCAAATCTAAATGACCACAACAAGGACATTGTTAAAGTGTTCCTCAAAATTTTCAAAAAGCACATACCCGAGACCTTTTCTCTCTTCAAAGACGCCGCCGTCAATTGGAAGGGCCGCGCCGAGTACACCCTTGCAATGGCAGCCACCGGAGGCTTGTTTTGCACAGTTCCTGGTAGTGCCGAAGTTGCTAAGTCAATGTACAACGATGCCCGAAGGCTGTTGCTTGCATCTGTGGGTTCCCTTCTTAGATAATGCACAGACAGCTAAACCTTATTCAGTTCAATATGAAGAATGTCCTTGATGAGCTTTCCTCAACCCTAGAGGACAAACTCGTCACAGTGAAAACGGTAAGTCTAAGATAAGGGACCAGGACATCGGCTGATACGAAAAAGTTTATCCTTCTCGAATTATACGGCCTCTGTAGCGGTGACAAAAGGAGCTACGAGTTTGTGGAAGCCTTTCATGGAAACCTGATACACGTATGTTCTCAAACATGTTGATTTCTGACAAGACTAACACATTCCAATAGTCCGTACAGGAGTATAGTCAAGCTAGTAGAACATCTGAGATGAACGACAAGAGGGACGACGATGGCGCCCGGTGAGAGCACTCCGCGACCTCCACGGAATACGTTGGATATGTACTAACCATTTGTAAGACTTCTGGAAACTTTATACATACTCGAATGTTACCGGGTCATAATTATGCAATGCCCTCCATCCTTACCATGGCACCATCCTAACTCCTTTGCCGAGTCTCCTCCTCATGGGAGTCAAATACACCAGTTGCAGCACTCGATTGCCGCGCTTGTTCGCGGTAGTCACGCAAGCGAGCCTGAAATATGCGAAAGATTTGGCCTTGCAAGGCTGTCATACTTGTTTACTTTCCTGTGGCATGCAAAATATCCCCGCCAGAACAGTTATGGCGTCGATAACGTCGTTATTGAAAGTCTTACTCTGGGCAAAAGCGACTTTGTGGAACTAGCTTGTGATTCCTGGTTGCGCTCACTCGATGAGGTCCCAGACCCCTCGCTCGTTGTTGTCTATCACATGCTGAACATTTTGCTTCACACGAATCTCGCTATTTTACAGAGCTTCGCCCACTCTGCACCTAATTCCACAGCACGGGATCCAAAGAAGAGCTTGGCTGCGCGAGAAATCTATGGATGGACACAGAGCAGGCATTACGAGATCGCACAATGGCATGCTGAAAATATGCTCTCCTCGATCGAAGGAGCATTCGTGACTTCATTGAACAAGGCCGAGGCAGCAAACTCGCAACAGCCTTCGTCACGTTCAGCATTCTCGACCACAGAACCACGGCGGTTACCATTCGAAGCACCCCATGTTCCATATGCGGTGTACTATGCGACACTTGTACTTTGGACCGGCGCGGCAACTGAAGAGACTCCCGGGCTATCTTCTGTATCGGCTCAAGCTTTGATTGCTCGCGGTGAACGGATTTTGTTCTTGCACAAAGTGCACATTGCACAGCTACTGGCTCGTGTCTTGAATGAGATTAAATAAGGCTCGAGCATCGCAGAAAGCAATGGCTTCTTTGATCCTTTATTTCAAAGCGCTGATTGTACACCGGAAGCTGTTTCGGACAACAGTCACAGACCTCTTCCAAGGTCCGAAGTATTGTGCGGATGACTTTTTTTCGGGGCTATGCAACCACCCATTCCGGAGCCGACGGGAATTACAGCGAACTGTCTGCTTCCGGTAGCAGCCAACATTCTCTGTACTTGGTGAATAAGACGGCTTTGCTATCATCATCAGTCCTAGCCACATGATGTGGGGCAGTTTGGGGTACCGACTCTGACGCGGCCCATGGGAGTCTTGAAAGATACCCAATCGCTTTCCTTCTGGCAACCCCCGGCTGGATCGATATTACCCGTGCTCTCGATGCTTAAGATCTACCGATTCATGCACACAGTTGATGTGCCCGTCAATGTTGCTTTGCATACTGCATATATAAATCTGACAAACTGCAAGCCACAAGTCACTACTCGCAATAAACCAAAAATGCCGAACAAGTTGCGAGATGATCTTCACAAGATCGACACCAACTCTTTTGACTACATCTACGAAGAGAATGCTACGGTCCAGCTAAACGGCGGGCGTGGCATTGTCCGATGCAATATATTCCGGCCAAAGGCGGCCGAAGGAACAAAATTCCCTGTTCTGGTAACATATGGACCGTATGGCAAGGACGTCCACTACTCGGTGTGAGTCACCATCTTCTGTACATACAAAGTGGGCTCTAGATTGCTCACAGCCGAAACTAGGTTTCACGCTGCATCGTTTGCAGAGGTTCCGGAAGAACACCACTCACCACATTCAGCATGGGAGACACCTGATCCTGGATATTGGACTCGACACGAATATGCAATCGTACGAGCCGATGAGGTTGGTCTTGGTCAGTCACCTGGTGTGCTCAACACGATGTCCAGAGATACGAGCCTGTGTTTCGCGGATGTGATTGAATGGGCAGCCTCTCAGCCATGGTCTTCCGGAAAGGTTGGTCTTCTCGGAATCAGCTACTACGCGGGTAGCCAGTGGCGAGTTGCGGCGCGACGGCCTCGTGGCCTTGCCTGTATAGTGCCCTGGGAGGGAATGAGCGACTATTACCGCGACCGCTGCCGTCACGGCGGCATCTTGTCAAACACCTTCATTGACTTCTGGTGGAACCGACAAGTGAGTGTTTGACCTTCTGCGAGCCTTTCGTCGCTGACCATCTTTCCTACTTAGGTCATTGTCAACCAATACGGGCGGCCCGGGAGAGCTGCACGAAAATGGGGCCCAGATACCATCGAAGGTACTTTGGAGGAGGTCGAACTTCGCGCCAACTGCCATGACCAGAACGTGGATAATGTTAACAACCATTTCCTCGATGACGACTACTATGCGAGCAAAGACTATAATCTGTCGGACATAGAGGTGCCCTTGCTCTCTGTCGGAAACTGGGGCGGCATTCTCCTCCACCTTCGAGGCAATGTTGAAGGGTTCCTAAATGCAGGGTCAAAGCATAAGTACCTCCGATTTATCACTGGTCGTCACGACCTTCCATTCTATACTAAGGAATACGTGGACATGCAACGAAGTTTCTTGGACGCCTTCCTCAAGGGACACGACCCTCTGGGATGGTCAGATGACAAGCTACCAAAGGTTGGGTATAGGGCCAGAACAGGTGATGTTGGTTTCAATGACGCTGCCGCCGAGAGTGCTTATTCTACTCGGTACGCAAAGGACTGGCCAATCCCCGGAACGCAGTATACGCACTACTACTTGACGCCTAGCCAAGGTCTGATCGGGTCTCCCCCCACGGGGAAGGCTTGTAGGCTGTCCTACAAGGCTTTGGGAGATCTCAACAATCAACATCTTATCCAGTTTACTAGTGAGCCGTTCAACCAGGAGACTGAGTTCACAGGCCATCCCGTGGCACATTTGAATGTGTCGGTTACTGCAGCTGAAGGTTCGACATGCAAGCCGAGCGATATCGACCTCTTTATCACAATCCGACATTTGAATTCCCATGGTAAAGAGATCCTATATACAGGTACAGTTGGAGATCCAGTCCCTGTAACCAAAGGCTGGCTGCGAGTCAGTCTGCGAAAGACCAACGATAAAAGCCCGAGGCATAAGCCATGGCACCCTCATCGTGAATATCTCTCAACTGATCGTGCACCGCTTCTCCCCGGACAGGTTTATCCTGTGGACGTGGAGATCTGGCCGACCAACGTGGTTATGGCGCCTGGAGATCGTCTGGTGCTAGAGATATCATCGGGCGACACTCAAGGTGCAGGCTTGTTTGAGCATAATTCAAAAGATGATCGGGATGATGCGACTTTTGGTGGTGTGAATCATGTTCACTTTGGGGAGGAGTATGAGAACTGGTTGTCGATGCCTTTGATTCCAGCTGGCCAAGCATCAGATTAAACCGATACCAACCTTGATAAGTTTTATTGGCAAGACATAAAAAAGATATAAGAATTGTAGCCTATATTGAGCCACCCCAAAATCTCTCCTCTGCAGCCCCGAGTCCGAAAACGTGTAGCGTTCCAGATGTACGCTGTCATACCGAGAAGCCCATGATATGGTCAATATTCACCCCTCTCGCACAACACATCCTTCTACCACTCTCCCCCGATTTTGTATCTCATGATACTGTTATCCCACTTCCCAACAGTCGCGCGCCATAATCGATTGAGGCTCTGTATTATCACTGATATATCAGTTACTTTCCTGATTGGGATCGCACCCTCGCAGTTAGACTGGTAAGACTGGGAAAGATTCTTGTGTACCCCATAAGTCCAAACCCCTGTGAACATGATCATAACCATTGTAGCTTCGCCACGATCTAGGCCCGCAGGGCGGTCAGAGACTCGATGTGAGCGGCTTGACAGCCGATATGGAGGCACTCTTCGCCAGTCTGATGGCCAATTCAAATTGGGTTGTGAGACAGGTTCTTCGATAAGTTGATTTTGTGTCTGGTCTGTAGGGGGCTCCGAGGTCTCGTCGCTACCAGTTCGGTGAATGTCGTACGCAAGAAGTGTTTCACGAACCGTAGTGGGTTCTACAGTCGTCTCCGTACTGCTCATATTGATCTGGGGAAGAAAGAACGAGTAAGCCAATTGAGGCTTGCAGCGAGAGGCACAGCAACCACAGTGTCTCTTCTAAGAAATCAACGAACCTGCAACAATTGGAGCAGTCGTCAAGTCCACCATCTGCACCAGGTCAAACAGTGCCTCCAGGAGACCGCGGCGCCATGGTTGGGCGACCTCTCCAGCGGGTGTCAATGGGGAAATCTACGTTCTGGCGTGGTTCGTGCTTGGGGGATATCCACTCCATCCTCATTCCGGGGCGCCCTTGGGCCCCCATGTTCGCCGATCCTCCCACTCGCCGCTGCGGAACCCCCTTTCGGAACAAGGGCACGGAACCTCAAGCGGCAGCTAATTGCCAGACTTACTCATTATGTATGCGAACCCATTATTCACCAGAAGCAGGCGTGTCCCTGTTTAGACTTCATTGTAGCGAGCACACAATTGCGCGACTTCGACATAATCGACCTATGTCCTTTGAAAATGATATTCAAAATGGCAAGCGATTCTTTTTCTCGTATAGAGATATCTAGCATCGAGGGCCGAGCCCAGTCGACTCGGCTTCGTCAGAAACTGTTCCATTCTCTCCACGCAGCATTGAGATCGTCGGAGAAATCCATTGAGGATGCGATCCTGGCGGACAGTGAAATCACCCAGGTCGACGCCAATCTTGAGTATACGCTCGCCATTTCGGAATTGCGCACGCACTATGCTTCCCTCGATCTTGGAAAAGACCTAAAAGCTCAACGAGCATCAGAGAACCTCGAGGCGACGACGAGCGTTGGTATTGTGTATGTCATTCCTGCGAAGCAAAACCTGTTCTATTCCGTCATCTCAGCTCTTACTGCGGCGCTGGCAGCTGGGAACTGTGTAGTTGTCGAGGTATGTCAGTTCTCGTTCTGGACAAATCTTCAGCAAGTTATTCTAGTCTCATCTCTGACTCAGAACACATTCAGCTACCTCTTACACTTACCGAAGTCTCTGGTGTGCTACGCAAGATCCTACCCTCAGCACTAGATGCGGATATTTTCGCCATCAGCAGCGCAAGACCGTCAGAGGATTTCCTCGCAAAATGTCACGTTTTGGCACAGTCCGGAGACGAAGAACTATCCCGGGCGGATGGCATACAGGCGACGGCGTCACCGAAGGTTGTGGCGGTCGCGGATAGAACTGCAAAAATTCCTGAGGTAGCCACAGCAATCGGTCTGTCCAAAATGTTGTTCAATGGCCGCTCTGTCTACGCACCGGACGTTGTTCTCGTGAATGAGTTTGTTGCCGATGACTTCCTCTATCACCTTGTCCAGGTAGTTACTTCGTCGTTGGCGACCGAGACTTCTTCAAGATCACAACATCTGTCAAAAGTACAGCCGGATGGTCACACGAAAATGTTAAGGGAGTTCGAGAACAGCGAAGGCGTAAGAATGATTATATCAAGTTCAAACGGTAGCATAATTGAGGTCAAGGACAGGTAAGCACAACATATTTTGGACGTTAGGCTCAGCGCTAACGTGCTATGGATGATAGGACAAAGCTCCTTGTTGGACGCCGGACGGATAATCGAACAATCATCGTCACCCGTATTACAAGCTTGGATGATGCCATCGACCTTTGTAACAGGTATGTATCCTATTCTTCTCGCATTGCCTGCCGAGTACACATTATCGGTTGGAACTGGCTGATATAATATCCTTTGTTACCAGCTTCGGGACCACCTTGGAAGCGAACTATGTCTTTGCAGCACCGATTGAAGCAAACTACGTGACGAGATTCATCGATGCACGGCTTTCCTGTATCAATCATATTCCCACTGAGCTGCTAGGTAAGTTCCATTCGAATTTCTGCGCCGAGATCAGTGGTGCTGACAGTAAAAGTCGGCCCTTTCGCCCCCAAACACCCGACAATCGCACCCAGCCTGAGCCCCCGGTATCCCTCGACATTGTTTCGCTGTCCCCGACCACGACTGGCTCACCTTTCGGACTTGACGACTCTCAGCCATAATGCTATGCGCTCTAGATCGACCAAGGAGCTAGCATCCTGGAGTCGATCAACAATACAGCAGACGCTACCGACCATTGACCAGCACGATGGAAGGGCCATTGGTTTCTTTGACCAGGCATTTATGACGCTCGGTATCGTCATTTTCTCTGTGGTGGCTGGAGGTGCCTTCGCGGCATTTAAGATTATCCGAGAGCGGTAGGCGGTCGCTATCATCTACAAGATGGCAGATAGCCTTTAAGAAAACCTGCAAACCAGAATTTGTAATACGGATAATGTAATGTTTTGGGCTACAAAAGACACCTTTGGGCCTCGGATCTAGCCTCGGCCACAAACTGTTTAGAATCAGGTTATGCGAAACGGTTTGGATTTATCTCCGCTACATACAGTGTAAATCAGGCAGCTGCGGTAACAAATCCAAGTTGGGGCAACTTGTCAGTTTCCTGTCTCTCAGCAAACGTCTTCTCCATGTCATCCTTATACTGGCCAAACGTGAACTGCGAGTTTGCCATGTTGATGAGCTCCCACGTCTCGGCTGCCAGCACATTAGACTCCGCCTCGTCCTCAAAGTCGCCCGCTGCACCAGCCGCGAAGAGCGCCGGCATCCAATGGTCATCAGTGGCCTGGGCCTCACGGTACGCTGGGTGTTGCATAAGGCGGACCATGGCCTTTCTCAGAGCTGGGCCTCGATTCCTGGTGACCACATCCTCTGTGGCTTGTCTAAATTCGAGAGCCCAAGCTTCCGGGGGACGCTCCTGGCCCAGCGACTCTCTGTACAGCAGCATGTCCGTCCAGGCGTTGCGGTAGAGATTATGAACCGCACCGCCTGTGCCAATAAGCAAGTATCCTTCCTTTCTGAGGGGGCGTAGCGTCGCGCCGACCTTGACATGGTACCAAGGGTCATAGCGCGCGTTCATAGAGACTATAGTCACGGGCGGACACTTGGTGTCGTCCGGGAACATACGGATGAGGACCATGAAGACGTCGTGAATCCATGTGAAGTTTGGGTTGGGTCCGGCGCAGAAGCCTTCTGCCTTGAGCATGGATATACATCTCTCCGCTGTAGCTAGGTCCGGGTTTGGTTTCCAGTCCTTGTATAATGCCGGACTGGAGAAGGGACAGAAGCTCTTGCCTGGTGTTGGGTTGGTGGCCACTTCGATCCTGTCCCCAAGACAGGCCCAGTGAGCGCCCTGGTGAGGATATCAGTGCTATTCTCTGCGAGCGAAGTTTGCGATGTGAATACCTAAAGCATGTGAAGGAGGGACATACCATTATGATGATTCCTTTGACATTGTGTGCAAGAGCCTCTTTTCCGCACTTTGCCCAATACGCCCCAGATTCAGTATCGGCCTCGAGCATGCGGGTGGAGCCATGAGAAAAGAAGTGCACTGGTGTTATACCTGCTACGCTGTTAGCAGCCGCTTAATAGATACTTCACTATTAGGAAAAAAAATACCCATGGTTGCCTTTCAGGTCATGCAAAAGGACTGGGAGAGAAGAACGGTTCTGTGTCAGTGTGAGGTCAAACCGAGACAAAACAATTATCTAGGCCGCTGACGACGACATCATTACCCTTTCCGCCCTGGGTCACCGGAAATTCAAGTGGCGTTTTGTATCTGGCACTCCAGCTTGAGCAAATGATGGAGAAGCCAAACCGCCAAGAATGGGGTCCCGAGAACCCTGTTTGTTAGGAAAGGGTGTTCAATCGTTACGTTGCCGTCTTCCGAGGGGCCCCTGAAAGCCGCAGTGGAGGTATACAAACGCTAATTTCGCTTCCGGTCCATGAGATTGAGTCTTGGAAACAATAAAAGCAGCTGTGAGGCGCTCCTCGCTCCTATATTCTTGTGTATTTGACTAAGATAGCAAAAATGACTTCGCAGACACGTCTTCCAACCGAAGGTCAATTGGCCACACACCTCCCTGGATTGACAGCATTCATCACCGGCCACAAACCCTCCACAGGGGATACGACCATTCAAGAAAAGCGACCTGCAAAATGGCGCTCCATCGACAGCGGGGGCATGACCTTTCACGAGGTGTTTACCACATCTGAGTTTCCTGTCTCGATGAACAACGACGTCGACATCAAGAAACATGACGAGAGGGTCAACTCTGGAAAGATGGGCATCGTTAACCCTAGCGGGACGGTCCTAAGATTTGTCGACTTCGCTCCCGAGTTTGAGTCAATGATGCATCGGACGAGGAGTTTGGACTACGGAATTGTGATCGAGGGCTCTATCGAGCTGATCCTCGATTCCGGTGAAAGACAACTGCTGCAACGGGGCGATGTCTGCGTGCAACGTGGGACCAACCATGCCTGGAGGAATCCAAGCAAAACTGACTGGACAAGGGTTGTCTACATCTTGCAGGACTCACAGCCAGTGGAGGTGCAGGGCAAGCCGTTGAAGGAGTACCTAGGCCGCAGTGAAGGAGAGATTCCTCCTAGTGGCAACGACGACTAGTCACCAAGTTACTTCATGCGGAAACGAAGTCGTGAACTTCTGAATATTTCTGCTCAGGTTTCTTCATAATCATCCTGTAAATTGTTGACAAATCCCCTGATCTTCCTCTGTAACTTACTTTAGCGAGCTTGTGAAGGATGAGAGACGGGATGTCTATCGCGATCGTACCACCTATTGCCCCTACACAATGGTAGGGCGAAATCTGGGGCTCCGCAAACTTTTCCCCATCCCTCGTTGGTGCTACCCCTATCATGCCTTACCCCTTCAACTCAGCTCCTCAAACTCTGAATATCGAGTCACTAGTACAAGAATGGATTTTGCGCGTTTCCCACCCATTCCTGGAGCCGTCCAGACAGAAGGGCAGACGCTTGCAAGTAGACACTTATAGCGAGTACATGCAGACCTTGTTATCCTATATGTTTAGCTTCTTTCGAAGCTTGACAGCAACTTTCTAGTGAAAATTACAGACCACATAGAGTGCGCAAAAAAGGAATTCCAATGCAAATGTCGTTCTTCATTACTGCGCAGATTTGGAGCAGGGAGCTGTCTTATGAGGCGATGAACGAAGGGAAATTTCAGCTGTTGGCGCTGGCAATAGCAATCTTTGTGGTGGGCAGATTTATTCTTCAGGTAAGGTTTGGCATTATCCAAGTTATGCCAGCCGAGCTGACGACAAGTCGAGACAATCTACAACATATTTCTGCATCCTATAGCATCTGTCCCAGGACCATGGCTTGCAAAAATCTTTGGAGCTTACATGGCTCCTGCTCAAGCAGGCCTTCACAGGGCTCAGGCAAGTAACTAATCGAAGACAAGCCTCTCACTAAAGCTGAACGTAAGCTGATGGCAACGCAGACGCTGCGAAGTTTGCATGACAAGTACGGTCCCGTCGTTCGTATAGGAACCAACGAGGTTTCTATTTCTGAATGGACCGCCTACAGACAAATCTATAGCCAAAAGGGCAGTAACAAGACTCACCATTTCTATGAGGATACCAAACTTGCCGGTCCGGGAAATCTATTTACTATCACCAATAAAGAAGCGCATTCCGGACGCAGAAAACTGCAAAATCCAGCATACTCTCAACAAGCCGTCCTGGAAAACGAGGACTTTATCGCGAACAGAGCAGATATATTGGTGAGGCGTATCATGAAATCAAGGGCTGGAGGCAACTCATCCGAGCCCGTTGCTGACGTTTTCCTCCTCGATGGTCTCTTCAGTTTGGAAGTCATCTTGAAATGTGCCTTCAACCGTCATTACGTAGACTCGCCAGCAGGAGATTCTTTGACGCTGCTTAGGGCTATGGACTCTAGTGCCGTGGCAATCCAAGTTCGCGCCGCTCTCCCATTCATCACTCGTTCCCTTGGAAAGCACATTCCAGGAACTATCGGGAAGTCCTACAGAGGATGGGACGTATGGGAGTCAATGACGAGGAATCTGGTGGAACAGTTTCAACATAACGAAGCAGCTTTAGATGTGAGACAACGCTTTATGACAACACCAATGATCCTCAATGAGGACACCTATCTAGGTCGCAAAATGAACCAGGAGGAGCTCGTCGACGACATGATGGCGGTTGCCTTTGCTGGCAGCGGCACAACCTCCACAACTCTAACCTACCTGATATATTCTCTCTCCCGGGACCATAAGAGACAAGATCGTCTCAGAAAAGAGCTACAGGCCTGTAACGACTCCCTGAACGACCTCAAGGATCTGCCGTTCTTGAACGCAGTCATAAAGGAAACCATGCGTGTCTATCCTACCATTATGTCGACTTTACCCCGTGTTCTGGACGAGCCGTTGACTGTGGACAAATACGTCCTGCCAAAGGGTACTTTCGTTGGTATGCAGAACTACGTCCATCATCGCGACCCCAAATTGTATCTTCACCCAGATGAGTGGTGGCCAGAACGTTGGCTCGAGAACGGTTCAAACATTAAGGACATGAACGCGGCGCTTACTCCCTTTTCACTGGGGCCCTACAACTGCATTGGTCAAAATTTGGCCAGAGCCGAGTTGTACTTGGCTGTGAGCAAGGTCTTTAGGAAGTTACGGCTGACCGTGAACGCTGATATGACTGACTGGGACATGGAAATGGAGGATCGCTTCAACATTGCTCCGAAGGGACGGCGTTGTCTGGTGGATGTGGAGGCCCTTGATTGATCCAACACCGAGTAGTCCTTCGTACCAAGGACATTCTACTCTGACAGATCCAGATTGCTATTGTGACGAAAATATCAGTATCCATTTCGTAAGGTTTGCAAGAGTTGGGGTCTACATCAAGTTGCTCGAAAATGCTGATATCTTTCTCTTTCTTCATTAGCCGTAGACTACATCAAAATAACTTCTCACCCTGCGAGCAAACACCTATCCCATGCTTCGCCGATATATGCGGGCATTTGACTCTGAGACATAAAGATCTTATCAAGCACTCCAACGGCTCATTGACCCTAAGTACAACACGCTTCTAGATACAAGATGGGCAAAGGTAAAACAACGACTCATTGCACGGCAAGATTGGCTGTGGTCACTGCTGACGAAGTTGGTACCGTCATGTACTAGAACCACTTCAAGACCGTGGTACTCGTCATGGTAAGTCTAATCAACCGCATTCTGAGGGACACCACGCTGATAATATGCAGGCAACCCTGAGCTCGTCGTTTTTCAAGATGCTACTTCTTGTCGGCGGAGGAGCTTTCGCTCGAAGCATTACCACTGTGATCGGAGGACAAAGTCTTACCTCGTGGCCAGCGTCGGTCCTTGTCATCTTCATCGTGACGCTTTGCTCCCAATTACTCATGCCGCAGATTAGGACGATATTTTTCTTCCTCACGGTAGCCATCTGTACACTACTGCACAAAAACCCACAGCTGGGTCAGGAAATGATTCCTCGTGATTCCAAACATCCCTGGTGTCGTGGGCAGCATCTTCGTCGCCCGAGCGACGACGTTCAACATGGCCATCGGAGGCTTCTGTACTGGGGGCATCGCCTATGGAATCATGGTCACTCTTGTTGACTATGATCTCAGGAGTTTTGCCTCGCAAGTATCGCTCGGATGGCCAAGCGGCTGCCAACGCCTCGGTCGCTCTAGGATCTATCTTCTCGCTCCTCATCGGCGGGAATCTATGCCAGTGCCACCATTCCGTGTGCGGTGCTGTACAGGGTGGTTTTCGATACCGTATCGATAAGCACGATACAATACCTAGTATGGATCAGAATGTATTAGTATTTTGGTAATACTCTTGGCATTTCCGTACGCCAAGACCTAGTCACGTGCACCACATAAGCGAAAACTTTTCGCCCCCAAAATTCTTTCCTTCTACTAATCACTAACACTACCACCGCCACCGCCACTACCGCCACCACCACCATCATCACCATCACCAATCGTACGTGCCCAGTCCCTGATCATCAGATACTTACTAACTTAATTACGTTAGTGTTTGTAATGGCATAGTGCGACCCAATCCTCTTCCCCCTTCAATAGCGTACGATATTGACATAAAGAGTAGGAATAACGATCGATTAGCTGTTGTCCGCTGGGATGCGGCCTAGGCCGCTACCGCCCTTACTACTACTAATTTAGCATTGCAGCGAGTACCGCTTTTACTTATGGGCGGGCAGGAGTTAGCTCCGTACGCCCATAGTCCTTAAAGTCGTTAGGCCCTAGCAATGCCAGGTCTTGATGTAGCCTTTGTCCGTGGCTACATCATACCTAGGCAGCTTAGGTCCCACCGGCCCTCCTATATTAACGCCGTATTAATTCAATTACGTAGCGTACGACTAGTTCGGCACTGTAATCAGTGTACGAACTATCTAACGCCTTTTCGAGAGTGTCGCTAACTTCCAGAATACTTTAGGGGGGCCTATACTAATTGTAAGTAGCGTGATTATACGTCACGTTATTCATTAGCTACGGACGATAATAATAGGGAGGAGACTATGGAATTGTCGTCGGACGATAAGGACGATAATAACCTTCAAATTATCCTAACTAGGGCTTCGGCCCAAAATCTAATTCAACTTTAGGTACGTACGAGATTTCTTTTTGTCTCCCTATGCGAGCATAAGTATAAGTATAAGTATATATCGTACATACCTAGTCGCCTAGGGTTATCGGCGACACCTACTATAACTTATGCCTCTACGTAGCGGATAGGATAAGTAGTCGAAAGACGAAACTAAATAAGTCAAATCGTACATTATAATCTTAATTAATATCAACTGAGATTCCACTACGTTTCTAATGTTTTAAACACTCTATATATTTAAGACTTTCTACCCCTAATTGTGCCCTTTCCTAAGAGACCGTACGACGTGCACTAGAGAAGACTCGTTCTAGTTCATCGCTTATAGCTAAGATTAATAAAATATCAATTACTATATACGATAACCTTAGCTAACGTTTCCTTTGTTCGTCTTAATATCACCACCCTAACGTAGATTGTTTTCTAATATCGTACGGTTATCTATTACTATAGTCTTCCTACTTATCTTAACTTACTAGACGCGTATATCTCCCTAAGTCTTAAGTAATTCGATTAAACTTATTAAGATCTTAAGATTAAGTAGAGTCTCCTTCGTACGATAAAGATATCGAGGATAAGGGTATTTTCTCACGATAGGACTCCTAAAGCTCCTTAACCTTTTTTAATACTAGTATTTACCATTTCTTCTTCTAATTTACACGAATATACTTCGTACGGCGATTTAGATAAAGTATAAGAGCGGCTACGTATAGAGGAGATTTATCCGTCTTTTTATAGTACTTATCGAAAACTTCCCACCCTTTCTTAATTCGATAATAGAATTCGTAATTAGAAGTATATTAAGTCTATCGTATAGTTAGTTATACTTTCTTTAGTATTAGATATACGTATAAGAGCTTTTTTAAAGTACTAAATAAGGATATCTATTATAAAGAGTATACGATTAATTATTACCTAATTACCTTAAGTTTCTAATGTAGCTCGATAGAATAGTTAAAGAAATGTCTTAA